TTTAATTACATTGAGAATATGAAACAATTTGTTTATAATTTTCTTCTGATACCCACGGTAGCCCTTCACATTGTATTTTTTTAATCTGCCTTTTGCATATTCTCTTTCAGCATCCTCCCTCCACCTTTTCCAGTTCTGTCTTTATGAGGAGGACCTTTGTTGAACCAAGTTGTTTATGGCGGGGAGCGGGGGGAGGGTTCTATCTAAGCCTGCTCTTTGCCCAGGATTGGTTAGTAGTGGATATATTAGATCTCTGTGCTTAAGTATGTTCAGTTCATCCTTCAGGATGAGAGAGGAAAGTTGGATAGCAGCCAGTTTTAAGATTTTACTTATTTTAGAGCAAGAGCATGAGAGAAAGTGAGTGCAAGCGGGAGGGGAGGAGCAGAGGGAGAGGGACAAGCCTACTCATGAGCCGACTCATGAGCCCAATGCAGGGCTTGATCTCACAGTCCTGAGATCATGGTTTGAGCCAAAATCAAGAGTTGGATGCTTAACTGACTATGCCACTCAGGCGCCCCCAGCAGCCAATTGTAATCTTGTTTCAGATAGCTGTTTTGGGGGGATTGGGAGGAGGCTGTGGTGGTACTTGCTGTAGCCTTTACGGGGTGGGTGAGTTGCGGCAGCTAAACTCTTAACTGAATTAGTTGAGCCCTTTTGTGGTAAGGTCTTATCTGGCAGGGACTCCCCTCAGATCAGACCATTCCTTGCGTGTTACTCCTCTGCCTGCCTAGGCTGACCCAGGTACCTGGAAAAATTAAAACAATCCCCCCTCTTCAACCTCACCCTCCCTATCATTTTGAGGAGTGTTAATGGCTCCAATTATGGGTGCTTCCTGCTTTTTCTGGGGCCCACTTTCTCCTGTAATCCCCTTTCTCCAAGTTAAGACTTTTGGTGGCATTCTTCAGAACTCTAATTTCATACGTCATTTGCTTTCTCTCACTTAGAATTGTATCCTATTTCATTGTTTTTTAGTTTGGTCTTGGATCTTACTGTACCTGGTATGTAGTCTCCAACATGCATAGAATGGGCTGTTTCTATATTGTATTAAAACACCAGTTTCCCTCTTTGTATTTGGGTTTTAGAAGAGTTAATGTGAACAAATAAGCTCACTCTCTCCCAGAAGTAGTTCTACCCAAGTAGGAGTGAGCCGGTCAGAATCTTACTTTTGGGGTATATGTGGAAAAAATCAGGCAGGCAGCAGCTGGTATGTCCAGAGAAATTCTGTGATACAGAGGCCAAAATGGCATTCATAAGGTTTCTAAGAAAAGGTATGAAGAGTTGGAGGATAAGGCCACCAACTGGTAGGAGAAGTGCTTCTGTAGAAACAGACCCACATACAGCAAGGGAGTCTTATCAGCGGCGGGCACTGAGTGAACACCCATGAACCCCATTGTTCCTCCAGTCTCAGAGGCCTGGTCACATGCTGAGTCCCATTCTTAGATTTCTGTGAGATGCCATCTTCCTTCTTGTGCTATTCTAGGTTGGTGTCTGCATCATAAAATCAGAAGAGCCTAAGTAAACTAGATGCTTTTCATTTTTATGGAGGATCATCCCAGGTCCACCCGAGCATGTGGTAGGAGGAGGTGAGTAGGTAGCGGTTTTGAGAGACATGAGGAATTGCAGTCATTATAAACAAGTGAGAGAAAAAACTGACAATTGCTGAGTAGCATGGGGAGTTCAGTTGTGGTTGGAAACCAGGAATTTCTAGCAGCATTATTCTGTGTGGTTGTAGGATTTTCTCTAGGAATAGGAGTGTAGGAACCAACTGGCTAGTTGGAAGGAAGGATCCCTGATTAGCTGAGACCAGGGTGAGGAGTCTGGGCGGGGTGGAGCTTGTGCCGTGCCATGGGTCTAGTCTGAACAGAGTAGAAATGAAAGGGTGGGGGTTCTGAGGGGGAGAAGATGGACAGTTGTCAGGGGATCAGAGGGCTTGCTGAAACAGAAGACTTAAGCAGTAGTGGGAGGAAGGGGGGGCTGTAAAATCCAGAAGGTGAGGAAGTTGCAAAGGCATGGGATGTTTAAGATTTCAGGAGGTGGAATGGCTTTCAATTGTGCCAGATCCTTAGTGTGGCCCGGTTAAGAGTTGATTTTCTGTTGCTTTTTGACTGCTCACTCACTGATGTAATAATTTAGGTAATAAACATTTCTTATCTTGAGATTTTACAAGGTTACTTTATAGGTGGCAGAATTTAAAAAAAAAAAACAAGTAGTAAGCAGAGTGTTTATTTTTTTAAAATTACTTAAAAAAGGTTGTTTACAGAGATGTGGATTTACATAACTTGGCGACAACATTTTAAAAATGTACAGGCTATTTCATATTATTGCACTTACTCTTCAATAATATATAAGGCATTTTATTTTACATAAATAAAGGATAATGTAGAATATCATACAACAGGTGTGGTGCCAATTAAGTCAACCATAAAATTAAATGAGATGTGTTTTGGAGGACAGAAATGCAACCCAACCTACTTCAACCTTCACAGAATATCCTTGCAATTACAGTTTACTTGTTATAACACATATTTACCCTCATAGCTTATTGTGGATGACTGATGAATTAGAAAACCAAAACAATGAAATTTTTTAGTAGGATAATATACCATTAGTGCTCACTTCAGGAAGTGTGGGAATTAGACTAATTAGAAATACTAGTCATGCCTTGAACATTGAACACAAATAAGTAGCTTTCTATCTTAGGGTCAGAGATAGTTTAGCCTTTTGCTTTCTCCCTTAAGTTCCAACTGTGGGCCAGGGAAACCTTTCTGGCAAGATCTACTAGAAATGATGACTTTAGCCTACTTTAGGCTAGTAGAGTCTACCCTTGCACTCTTCAGATACGATGATGACAGACTCTCAGAAGGAGACCGTTCCATTGCTCCAAATTGCTCTAGAAATTCTGGTCCATTCACATAGGACTGTGAATTTCTTACTAGGAGGCACAGCTGGAAGAGTAGAGGCAAATATTCTCTTACCATTTAGGCAGGAAAGCAGAAACCACACAACTGACCCCAGAGACTTAAAAACAATCTAGCATGCACCTTGCACTGACTGCCTATAGTATCCTACCTGGAAGTGTAGTGAAAAGTAGAAGCTAAATTAATCAGGTCTTTCTTGCTAACTAACTTTTGTACCACATTTTTCGTATAACCTGTTAAAAAAAAAAAATGAGAAATCTGGGCTCACACCAGCCAGATCCTTCATTCTCATCTGAGAGACCCCTGTGGGCCAACTCTGCAGAGGTTTTCTGTAAGGGATGAGTCACTCGGAAAACCGATACACAAAGGGGACAGCTCAAGCATCTCCATGATTGGTGTGTGGGGGGGTGTACAGTGACCTCAGTTCTTCTCTCTAAGCCATAGACTCAGGCTGTAGGTTATTGAAAGAAGCGTCCAACATAAAACCTGGGCATAGCCTCATGCACGCAGGTTTGGCGTCCTCACCCGTATTCCCAGGACTCGAGCAGCTGGTCCGCGTCCCCCTCGGATCTGGGTTGTGCGACACAGTTCTGCTTCTTTACCTTGAAAGAGTGACTCACCCGCCCTCCCCATTGTCGTCTTCTTTCATTTTGTTAAATGAAGCTGATGGAGGTTTGGAATTTAAGAAAAGAAGGTGCAGTACGGAGGAGAAAAGCCAGTTTTGGGACTGGGAGCAGCTACTGGGAAGAAGTCATGCTTTGACAGGAGAGCAGCCCGGACGAGTTTCACGGGCAGTGTGAGGCAGGACAGTCTTCGGCACGGAAACAGTCTTGGCCTAGGGAAGAGTGAGTTTGCGAAACAGGAAAACAAACCCAGCAAACATGTCCGTCACTGCAGCGGCGTCATGACACCCAGGTCAGGAAGAGCGGGCCAGTGCTCAGAAAGGGGCTATTTCTTACGCTTGTTGGGCAAGGGGAAGACCAACCAACCCACCCCAAAGCCCCCTAAAAGGATTATTTTTAAGCTCCGCCCTTTGGGTTGTAAATGTAATGCCTATGTTTATAAATCCAAGGATGCTAAAAAGATTTCTAAAAATTTAGCGTAGTGTTTGGAGTGCATAAAATATAGAAATGGAAACCCAGTGACTATAGTATTTCTGCCCACTCCTGTGTTGACTGGTCTTGAATTCAAGCACTTATTCAAGACCAGTTCTGAACTAGATGCAAGGTGCTTTCAGAGCTGGAACTTGCTGCTCATTCTAAGCAGCAAAGTTCATGGCTATTTAGTATGGTTTATCAGAACGGCATTTCTGTAAAATAGCCTTACGACTTACACTTTCAGATCACGATCAGCACTTCATGATGATCCGTAATCCACTGAGTTGAACTCTGCAGCCATACATTGCACATTACACTCACTAAAAAATACCACTTTCTGTTATTTTGCTTTTTCATTTTTGGATAATTCCTGAGCTCAGCTTAACTGTTAGGTCATAACTGATTTTTTTTTTTTTTAAGTCTCACTTTCTTTTCACCATAACGTACAGACCTACAGCCCCTTCCACTGAATGTGCCTAAAAGCGTTCTCTTACTTACTTACAAAACTATATAAAACTGTAGTCCTTTACTTGTGACACTGGTGTTGCCCCTCAGACTGGGTTAGCTCCCTCACTGCCAGGATTGGGTACGGTGAGCGAGGAGGGGAGGGATGCGAAGGTCTTAAGTAGTAGGTGTTTCGAATGAAGAAGGACATGCCACATCTTGTATCCCCATCAATAAACATAAAAGGGAGGGGACAGGCACCGGAGCATAAGCATCCCTCCTGGCCTCGGTGGTCCGGGTAGCAGGATTCCAGAGGTCAGCGCCGTTGCCGTCGCACATACACGAGGTCAGCTCTTCTTTTAGAAGTAAAAACCTGGAGATTTTTTATAGTCCTTGCCCTTACCGATGTTCCTGTGTTGTTTAGGAACCCAGTGTTTAAAGAAGTTATTCTGATTTGCTGAAGTAAGGGAAGTGAGAAAAGGAGATTCTTGTTAAAAAATGTAACAAGCACCGCTAGTGAGTGTCACTCCCGGTGCCTGTTTTAGGAAGAATTCCTGTGCTTCCTAATTACTAGCTGCACGGGTCCCTCTGGGACAGACTTCATAATATTCCAGGCATCAAAGTGCATAAGCCCCACCAGGGGTTTCCCATTAATGGCAAGAATTTCATCTCCAGCTTCTATTGTTCCAGCTTGTTCAGCTGCACCACCTGTGAGAATAAATGCAGAATAATGCCTGGGCACTTTCATAGTGTTCAAAATAAATTCTAAGTAAGCTAAAAACTTAAATGAGAAAAATCTGTGAACGATAGGCCCATATTCTTAGGATAGGGAAATGGTTCTTAAGACACACAGAGCATATACCCATGAAAAATTTACGTAAGCAATGGACTAGAAGGTATTTTCAGCGTATTTAATCAACAATCCAAATGCCCAGTAAATGCAGGAAAACAGGTTCCACTTCTATCCAGTGTACCGTGATCGCTAATCAGTGACTGTGGAGATTACTTAAACAGCTCTACATACTTCTACACCCCAGCTTTCTCTATAACAAGCTTATGAATATGTTGTTGTTTTTTAAAGATGATTTTATTTATTTGACAGAGACACAGTGAGAGAGGGAACACAAGCAGGGGGAGTGGGAGAGGGAGAAGCAGGCTTCCCCGGGGAGCAGGGAGCCCGATGCGGGGCTCGATCCCAGGACCCTGGGATCATGACCTGAGCCAAAGGCAGACACTTAATGACTGAGCCACCCAGGTGCCCCATGAGTATGTTCTATATATTACATACTGATAGTCTTAATATTAACTATTATGTAATAGGATATACAGATTTTTATATGTACTGATATTATTAGTATAATTATACTTTTTAAAAAAAGATTTTAAATGAGCGCGCGTTGAGAGCTGGGGGCGAGCAGCAGAGGGGGAGAGAGAATCGCAAGACTCCCCGCTGAGCATGGAGCCCCACAGGGGGCTCACTCTTACGACCCTGAGATTAGGAACTGAGCCACCCAGGTGCCCCAGTATAATTATACTTTTTGAATATAATTGTGTAGCTCAGGAACTTGAAGAGATTTTTGAGAACTGTCCAAGATCATAAAATAATTATTCAAGTTCATAAAGAGACCTTGTATCTACCACATGTTTCAACCATCTTTATGCTCTCATCTTACCTTCCTGAAGTCTAGTATTTGCAATTTGAAAGAAATGCAATCTTGGTCCATGTTAATTACCCCTGGCTGGCAATTCTTGATGGAATTAACTTGGTACGTTTACATCAGTTACAGCTAATGCTAGTTACGAACATGCCGTGAGGGATCTGGTATGGAGGTTAGGGACACAGACCCTGGAGCTGGACTGCCTGGGTTCAAGCCTTGTTCTGCCACTTGTGTGTGTGTGACCTCAGGTGCTTGTGTAATTCCCCTGTGGCACACTCTCTCCTTTGTGAAACAGGGAGAATAGGATTGTCGGGGGGGCGGGCAACGTGAGTTCATACCTGTAAAACACAACAGGGCTGACACACAGTACACCCTGTGTGTGGGAGAGAATGAAAACATTTTCCAAACGGAAGGCACAGTCATAAACAGAAAACAGCCGACTGGCTCTTCTAGGGCGTTACCTTTGTATACTCTTTTAATGAACAGGGGCCCATCTCCAGCCATTGAGGATTTTCCTCCATCCAGACTCAAGCCCAGCCCAGCAGAGGTCTTCAGCACTTCGACACACAGCGCATCGTGTGAAGGTACGCTTCTCCCTGCAGCAACGACATTCGTAAGGATGGAAATGACAAGGACACTCATCACCACCTCTCCAGTCCCCCAAATGTATTACCCCATCGCCCCTGAGTCCCATCTCCCTTTGAAACCAGCGTTAGGATTGGTCTCCCAAATTTGGGCTGACCTCATGGCTATGTTCCTGCTGTACATGCACCATTTGCTCTTCAAAGCATTTTTTTTTTAAAGGTTTATGTATTTGAGGGAGAGAGAGCACATGCATGTGAGCAGGGGGGAGGGCCAGAGGGAGAGGGAGAAGCGGACTCCCCGCTGAGCGCAGAGCCTGATGCAGGGCTCCATTCCAGGACCCTGGGATCATGACCTGAGCCGAAATCGAGAGCCAGACACTCAACTGACTGAGCCACACAGGTGCCCCTAAGCACTTTCTGTAAGCTTGGAGGCAGCTTTGGGGCCCAAGCAGAAACCCTCAGAGGCCAGACTGCTCTTGGCAAGCCCCGTACACTGTGGTTGTGTGTCTCAGTGAAGTCACGCTTGGGGAATCAGATTCAGTGTCCTGCCTACCCTGAGTGCCGACGGCAGCGGAGGGTCACAGTCCGGCACTGATAACCTGCAGCACCCCAGTGCCAGGCCTCACGTGAGACTGCGATCGTGGGTCCCAGAGCTCCGCGCCTTACCCCTTCTGCTGCGCACGCTCCTGCCCTCGCTGCCAACTCCTTTCTCCATGGGGGTGTAGGGGGGGCACATTTCCCTGGCAATGGGTCCTCCACTGCAACAAACGTGTGCAAACTGCCCACTTGGGCTTGAGGCTAAGGTAGCCAGCATCCCTGCCTTTGAACAGAAAGGTCTGTCCATTAGTGGGGTTTGAAGAAGGTCACTCTATGTCCACGGGGTCTGAAGGCAATGTGCCACAGGAATTTCAATAGGTGATTTCACTTGCTGTTAAACAGAACAGGCCCATTACAGTGGCTCTCAGCTCCGGGCCAGATTCTACTGAAATCACCCAGGAACCTTAGAAAGCTAGTGACTCTGGGCCCTGATGTAATTGAGCTGGTGAATTTGCTGGGCAGTAGGATTTTAAAAAGCTTCCTAGGTGCCTCTTGTGCAGCCCACCGCATCTGTCCTCAAGTGGGATGCTCTCGGGGCACGTGAAGGGATAATTCCATGGGTTCAGGTGGAGCCCTAGGCAGGGGAATTTTAAGGAATAGGACTATGAAAAAGTTTAAGCCCTGCAAGTGCTTATAATTTGGTAACTCTGTAGAATCTGGTTCAAGGCCAGATGTTCTGAAGGTGTCCCAGGAATACTTAATGATTATAAATGACAGAATAGCCTTCCATATCCCAAGTTCATGAGGCTTAAAAACTCTAGAAGCTGCCAGGAGTTTCCTGTGATGTTAAGTTTCTGGATCCATTGAAAATAGACCAAGCAGTTGAGACAGTGCTGGGGCAAAGGTGAGCATGACAAGGTCTGAGGACTTAAGGTGTTTCCCAATATTGAGAAGGGCTTCAGTTTTCTAGAAGCGTAAAAAGCAAGACAACAGAGGAGAAAGGTGAGAATACTTCCGGCCTGTGGAGGCATCTGGACAGGAAGAGTTTCCCATCTGTTCAGTGGAAATGAGTGCTGTTTTCAGCAAAGAAATCACGGATAGGCCAGGCCACCATGAAGCCAAATTGAACAGAGGAATTCAACTACCCTTGACTTTACTAGGGAGAGATGTTGAGAAGAAACCAAAGACCTCCCCAGAAGGCAGTGCCCTGATCTGAGCTTCCAGAGGCTCTCCGTGCTCTCGGGACTAAAGACATTGCTCCTGAACTCCAAGGGAGAGGACACCACGGAGGTCTAAAGTAGTTCTCTGAAGGCCGCCATCAGCCTTCTGCTTCAGAAACAGAAGCAGTACTTAGTTCCGAGTAAACACCTCGTATGCCTTCCCAGTGAGCCTTGGGATGACAGTATGGAGGGCGCTTAGGAAATCCTCTTCTCAACCTCTTTTTATAAGCTCTTGGTTGATTAAGGCTACAGTCTCTGTTTTTAAACATTTGTGCCCCCTCATTTCCTTATGTTCTTCTAAAACAGGAAAGAGAACAAACCCTGGTGTTTCCAAGGACAAATGGCAGTTCTGGAATTTCTGCATGCTCTCCATGATTCCCCTTATCACAAGAGTTTCGTGTTTTACCTAATGGGAAAGGGCTTCCTTCCTCATACACCTAGAGAAGCTGTCAAGCAGTCGTTCAAAGTCTTTGACAGTATGGCCTTAACTACGGGGGGCAGTGGTTTCTAACTTACTAGGAACACTGCTTTTTCAAGAAGAATCCAGAAACATTAGACTTCACTACATTTGATTTCTTTTTTTTTTTTTAGAGGGAGAGAGAGGGTGTGGGGCTGGGGGGTGGGGGTGGGGCAGGACAGAAGAACAGAGAGAATCCTAAGCAGGCTCCAAGCCCAGTGTGGAGCCTGATGGGGGCTCGATCTCACAACCCTGAGATCATGACCTGAGTTGAAATCAAGAGCTGGACGCTTAACCGACGGAGCCACCATGCGCCCCTCTATTTGATTTCTCTGACCCTAATGAGAGTAGTTAGGTTCCTTTTGGTTCAGCCAGAATCTGCTCTGCCGGTTGCTCACACCCTGCCGGTTGCTGGGCTGGTGACTTACCTATACCAGGCTCCAGTGTGCTGGCCTTCCTGGAGAGCGGGCCCTGCCCACTGGCTTCCTGCCCACTGGAGGGTCTGGGCCGATCGTTCCCTTTCCTGATGACCACGAGCACATCTCTGTGCAGCTGTGCTTGGTGCAGAATCTTGAGGACATCCCCATGGACTAAGCCGGCCAGTGAGGCGCCATTGACGGACAGAAGGAAATCCCCTCGGTTCACAGTCCCTTCCTGAGAAGCAGCCCCCTGAGAACACACACTGTGCACCTGGAGCGAGGAGAAGACAAAAGCTTTGGAAACTTCAGTCAAAGCAAAAGGGCAGATGCAAATCTGTAGTAGAGGAACCTTCTAATGGCAAGTTTGCAAAATCCTACGAACGTGGTTCATTGAAAGCCTATGCGGCGTGAGGGAGGGAATTACAAAGGTCGGTGTCGGCATCTGAATACATTTTTTCCTCAACTTCTTGCGAGCGTGTAATCTGTGCCTGGCGCTCCGCCGGGCAGTAAGGTCGCAAACATGAGCAGGACCTGGCCTGGTCTCACGGGGGCGGCCTGCCTCGTGATCTCAGAGGCCTCTGAGTGATCTAAAATCGGAGGTGGTTCTTGAGAAGGAAGTAATTTCGGAAGCACATGCAGATTGGGTCAGTTGATTCTCGTGTTTTTCTAGTGTTTAAGTATTCAGGTGAACAGGAGGAAACTCCAGAAAACCGTGTTTATACGTACTGGCATCGAATAGGTCACTCGGTCTGCACATTGGTCGGCTCTGTGGTAAAAATGTGTATCTTTGCCAATGGCTAGATTATGTCCTACCCCCCGCACTTTGCCACTTTTGCTTTGTTAGGAGGAGACAAACACCAGTGTTCTGTGAGCTCACAGATGGGAATTTTGTCCTGAGCACCTCTGAGGCTGTGTCAGGAGTGACTTCCCTGGGAGCATCTTGACGTGGTCACTTACCACAACTGATTTCGGCTCCATGTCTGTCCCCCCTGCCACAGTGAATCCCAGACCTGAGCCTTCTTTTTTATTCAAGACGATGAAGCAAACATCTTCTTTATTCTAGTAAAAAGAAACAGAAAAAAGTCCAGTTGACCTTTGAATAACCCAGGGGGTGGCTCACTGACCTCCGCACGGTCAAATCTGCATAGAACGTCGTCCCTAAAACTTAACCACTAAGAGCCTGCCGTTGACTGGAAGCCTTACTTAGAAACGGTTAATTTTCTATGTTGTATTATAGACCCTGTTCTTAAAGCTAGGGAAAAAGAATGTGATTAAGAAAATCATAAGGACATGATGCCTGGGTGGCTCAGTCAGTTAAGTGTCTGCCTTTGGCTCAGGTCATGATCCCAGGGTCCTGGGATTGAGCCCTGCATCGGGCTCCCTGCTTCGCAGGAAGCCTGCTTCTCCCTCTGCTGCTCCCCTTGCTTGTGCTCGATCTCTCTCTCTCGCTCTGATGAATAAATATAAAATCTTGAAAAAAATCGTAAGAAAGAGAATGCATTTATAGTACTGGAAAAATCTTGTGCAAAAGTGGACTTGTGTTGTTCAAGAGGCAACTGTATATTCCTCGTGCCAAGAGTCAGGAAGCTCTGATGTGAGTCCTCCTGCACGGCTGCTCAGCACGAGCCCCGGTGGTTATTCGGGAGCTTTCACACAATATTGGAATTGGAGGAACTTCATCTCAAGCATCCTGCACCCCTCCTGGGTGGTGCTAACATGATGGTGTTTTGAGGGTCCATCCTGTAGCTACAGCCCCATGTTTAGGGTGGACATGAGCCAGGATGGGGCAGGGACAGGGGACAATTTAGGAGCTATTCCAGGCACCAGATTATGTCTTCCCAAATCTGATCATAGCACATCATTTGATCTTGAAGGGGATTCTTTACTGTACAACTGTTTAAGTCTACAATTTAGCCAAGCCAGTGTCAACAAGAGCAGAGAGAAGTAGGGCCAAGTGGCAGGATGAGAGAAACTGAGGCCACCAGTTTATGTCCCCGTCCCGCCATGTTCAGTTCATTGGATTTCAGGTGCAGTTAATGAACTGTCATAAGATACAAAGTATGTTAAAAAATATAAAGTACTTTAAAACTAATTGTCAACTTGAATCGAGACTAGAACATTCCTAGTAGTGTCCTAGGGTTAAGTAACAAAAAGATGTCCTATGTTTCAAGCATCAAACAAAAGATATTTTGAAATAAAATATTTTAGCTAATTCTGAATTTTTACTTCTTTTGCTCACACACTATATATGATGAACAACATTTTAAAGATCTGCATTGCTAGGTTCCCCATGAAGTGATATTTAATCTATCAGTTCAGGGTGTTCTCAGCCCAGCAAGAGAAAAAGAATCTAACTCCTTCAGGGTTGCTTTGATGAGAGAAAGTCAGAACACTGAAGAGAGAGACCCAGCTCCGTAGTGTGCTGGGGAAGGAACCCAATACTTAAAAGAAAGTTTAGTTCTATTAGTGTGTCCTAAAGAGTAACCCCAAACATTTTACACCTCCCTAAAGAAGTTCATTCAACCCAAATCCCCATATGTCGACACTAGACTATCGGGCAGACTTACTGCTAAGGCCAACTGTTTACACGCTCAGACCCCGTTCAGTGGAGAGAATGAGGGCTAGGCTTTCTCAGTGAAAATGGGAGCATGTGGTCTGGTAAATGACCTTTGTGTAGCTGCTGGGAGGTAATGCAGTACTTCTCAGAGACTTAAGTGCCTTTATGGGAGCAAAGACAATATTTGAAAATGGGATTCTCCTGCATTCCGGGATATAACACCAAAACTTTAATTTATTCAAATTTTCTAGTTGTGTTTGAGGATACAAGTGTGCTAGAAGCTGTCAGGCCATATCTCCCAAGTAGCTTAGCACAGCATCAGGGAAGCTCCATGCACCCCCGAGAGCTCCCCAAGGTTTGGGTGTGTTGAGGTCAGAGGGGCAGGGCTTGTTTCCCCACCCCCCCCACCCCCGATCTCTCACAGCGCCCCCAACAGGAAGCCACAGGGAATCGTGTGCAGTTCCATTTTCAGCACCCACAAACCACACTCACTCAAAAAGCAAGCAGGAAACTTCTGAAGATGGTAGAGCAAGGACATCTCCGCTCATGCTGCTCCATGAAAGCAACTAAAGACTGCAGGATTATAAGGGAAAAAGCCGCATTGTGATCCAAGTAGGAAAGCGCTTCCACACCAGACCACAGGGTTGTCTGGTGGTGAGTGTACAACCAGAGCGAGGGGGTGGGAGGCCCCAGAGGATGCCCCCCACCCCTCCTGGTGGCGCTTGGCATCCTTTCCACACGAAAAGTCTCCCTTTTTGTTTGTGGTCCCTGAAAATGCACATCCCATGTTGAGTCGGTTGAGACTTTTTGCTTTTCTCCTCCTCCGTTTTCTCTAACACTGAAATGTCTGGAGGAAAAGGGACCTGGCAAAGCGTGATCCAACCGTGCCACCTTGACTGGAAATGCCAGAACAAGACTTGCATGCAGGAGATGCTTACTTATTGTCACAAGTTGAAGGAAGAAGGGAGATGACAGACTAGTCCCTTTTACTGAGAGTGAAAAATGCTGGACGCCTCAAGGTTCACTGCACAGACCGAAACCAGTGGGTTGAGGACCGGAGGGAGTGTAAGCCAAGGGCAACTGGCCGCCTCTCCATCCTGGTTCACTCCTCAGTAGATGCCAACGTCACAGCCCTTCTGGGTAATATTAGAATTTCTGGAACAGTGTTCTCGAATCCATCAGTGACCCAGGTATATTACCAGTTGAGAAACTTCATGTTTGCTTTTTTTCCTCTAAACAGAAATACTCATTTATTAGGGTTCAAATCTCTATGGGTAGGCCTGAGAAATTAATGTTGTTCTTCAGAGACGTAGTCTAGATATGAACCCATGGCTTCTTTTGTTGTTTACTGTCACCTCCGATTTATGGAAGGACTTCATTTGTAAGGACCCGTTAGCCACACTGTCTTGAGCCCCAGGCTTCAGAAGCCCCTAGGCTGGGAGCCCAGGCAGGGCTACACAGATGCACTAACCCATCTCCCCAGCAGGTGGCTCCCTTGACAAGGCGTTAATGTCCTCCTAGTGGCCGGGCTGTGCTTGTGGTCATTCCCTCCCATCTCCAAGACACCCAGTTCCGTTCTGAGGACCCTCTGTAGACAAACGCCAGATGTGGGGGGTGAGGAGGAGGGCAGCTAGTCACCACTGGGGAATTAAAACAGCAGCTGCACCTGGAATTCAAGACAAGGCCTAAGCTTGAGAAGCAAGCTGCAAAGTGAGAGAGATGTCAGACCCGGCTGAAGAATGCCCTGCACAGACCCGGGGCGGGGTTCTCCGGGGCTCTGGGGGGACCTCTCCAGGCTGGGGGCCCACGCCTGGGCATGGGCGCGGTCGCTGCTCCTTCTCCCCGGCCTGTCCGGTTTCACTCACCTCTGATTGTGCTTTCGCTTCCTGAATGAGAGTTAGGACGGTCGATCTGGACCCCACTGATGATAAAACAGACTGCAGTCTTCGCTGGTCCCCCACTGAGATGAGAAGCTGATCCAAACTAAAGAATATAAATATATTTGAAAAACATTAAAGAAAAAGGCGATTTTTCCATTTCATAAGGACGTATTTAAAATGATCTCTTTCTACCAAATCGCAGGCATTTTCTGAGTGTCATGCCCTCTTTTGGTCATAGTAACTCTCCATTCAAACTAAGGAGAATCCTGTGAGCTCTAACAGGAATTTCACTTGCTGCCAACAGCGCTGGGAAGGACTGCGGCTTCTGGGATCCCTCCCGGATGTCAGGGAACTAATCCTGGAGCTTAAAAGAAAATTTCTGACATCTAAAAAAATATATATTCTTTAAAATATGTTAGAAATTTTCTGTTAAACTCTGGTCACCTTCAAAGACCCAGGTTCTCGCCCGAGGCACAACCTGCCCTGTCCTTTCTCATCTCTCTGGTGGTGGGTGCTTGTGCTGAAGTGCCAGGTCCCTTAAGGCTTCCCTCCTGAGCAACATTCTGGCAAACACTTTCTCTGCAGGCACTGTGGGTTTCTAGTAATGATATTAAAAACAAAGGGGGCTAAATGTAATGTGGTTATCCTGGAAGAGAAAAAGGATGTAAGTGAAATTTGTTCCGTGAAATCCGAGTGAAGTCTGTAGTTTAGTTCATTGTGTTCTTCCAGTGTTAATTTCTTTTGCCAACTGAGGCATGATTACATTAAGATGTTCACATCGGGAGGGGCTGGGTGAGGGGTTCTTCACGGGAGCGCTCTGCATTATCTCTGCAACTTTTCTATAAATCTAAAGCTACCTCGTAATTAAAAAAAAAAGTTTATTTGAATAAAAGGGGAGAGGAAGATACTTACTTAACTGACCAGCCTTTTCCAGAAGGCAGATCCTGGGGGGTTTCACCCACATGATGGGCTGAACTGGGTGCCCCAGGCTCACTGGCTTTAGGGTTGCTTCCTCCTGGACAGGCCCTGTCCCCCCGCTTCATGGGGCATGAAAGGGCAGTGGACCCACTGAGGCCTGCAGCGGGAGAGCCAAGCGACCTCCTGGGGACGATTTCCAGTTCCGTTTTGAAGAGCACGGTGGCAGGCCCTGCCGTGAAATCCTCACTGCAGAGCTTGTCAAGGTCGGGCATGCTCAAGGCTCGCAGCTCCTGGAGCTTGGAGCGGGGTAAGGGCGAGGGCTGGGTGTGGCGCACTGAGGACTTGTTCCTCTTGCTGGGAGAGGCTGGAGCTGCAGTTGGGGTGGGACTTCCAGAAGGACCAAGTGGTTTCTTTGGGGCCAAGTCAGGGCCCTTGTTACCGGCTCCCGCTGGGTTCTGCCGGGAGACCGTCAGCGTTGTGCTGGACGGGCACTTGGTCATTTGGGGGGTGAGGGTGCTGGCTTCACTTTGGCTTTCGCTGCAGGAACTCAGGCTGCGTCTCAGTGACCTCGCTGTGGGGTCAACAGGGTGGCTGAGGCTCCCGGAAACAATGCTGCCAGACGACCGTCTCCCAATGGGAGGCTTGGAGCTTACTGACAAAAAAGGGGATGCCCCAGACTTGGCCACCAGCCGGTCAGAATTGGCCAGGTTCTCAAAAGACTTGATCCTCTGCTTCACAGAGAAAAATGAGGTAGATTCATAGTTCTGGTCAGGGTAGTAATGTCTTCTGGTGACTTTGATTTTGTCTGTGACTAGGCAGCTCCTTTCTTGAACCAAAAGGACATCCCCTTCGTCTGTGGTCGGAAGGTTCCTCGATGTCTCCAGAAGGGGCTTTACACTATATACACCCTGTCCATTAGCCAGGCCAAGGACACTGCCTCTGGAGGCCTTGGCCTCAAGGAGGCCCCCACTCGTTGCAGGGATCTGGCTGTCCCGATGAGAGCGGCCTGGGCTGTGCAGGGCATGCCCCTCCCGGCCAAAATGGCTTGAAAACTGGGCGGGCATGGAGTAGGTCCTGGTGGCCGGCCTTGGCGTGAAGTACGGATGGTCATCTAGTGCTGGGCCCCCTGCTGTGCCATTCCTGGGCATCCCTAGGGAGCCTGACGCCTGGCCCGCCTTCCCCTGGGAGGAATCTGCCTTTTTAGCAGGCAGCTGTGGGGAGGGGGAGGAAGAGGCCAGTCTTGCCATCCTGGAAGAGCGCTGGGTTTCCTGCTCCACCTGGGAGGCACGAGATGGGAGCGACGACGGAGGATTTGGGGACGGCTCCAGTGACTGGTGACAGGGTCTGATTTCAGTCTTCTCCTGACAGTTGCTCTGGGCCCAGAACCCTCCTAGTCTGCCACTCTCGGCTGGCTTGTCACCGCAGGCATCCTTTGGCATTCTTTCACAAGAAATTTCAACTATTTTCAGCTGGTTGGTTCTTTCTAGGGGATCGCCAGCAATTACTTCGCTTCCTTTGTCGCCAGGCACCCCTGGTTGGGCGGCCTCCGGCGCTGGATCCGGCTGGCTGGACCCCGGCGGGGGTACCTCCTGCCCGTTCGCGGCCGTGGACGCACTGCCCCCCGAGGCCGCAGGGGGCGCCCTGCTCTCTGGTCCACCGCGGGGAGAGGCGGCGGCGGCAGCGGCGGCGGCCGCGCGGGCTCTGTCGGGCTCTGCGTGGCAAGCCGCCTGGGATCTACGGCACGCAGCTTGCTCCGGAAGAGTCTTGGGGGAGGCGTGGGGTGAAACGAAGGTTGTGATGCTCGCCTCGGACGCGGGGGGCTTCGGCGGCCGGCTCTCCAGCACGCACTGGGGGGGCCTGGGGGGGGCTGGGGCGTTCTTGTCCGGCTCCTCGTGCTCGGCTGTGTGGAACCGGGGGGCCATGCCCTTAGGAAGCATTCTGTGGGAGGTCTGGGGTGAAATGAGGGGTTTCCTGGGGTCCATCCCACCGGCCTTGGCCATAGGAGCAGCAGGGGCCTCCGAAGTGACTTTGCTTTTGCTTTTGATGCTCAGTCTCTTCAGCTTAGGACCGGATTTGGGTTTCTGACAGTTATTTAAAAGTGTTTCCACTGAACCTTTTTTAGGTGGGTCTTTATTTTCCAGACTCACTTTCAGCTGAGGGGGGCTCTGAAGCCCAGCAACCCCCTTTTTCTGGCTGGAACTCGACCCCTGACTTTTGGAGTCAGGGCTTCTGGCGGGCACCATGGGCCGCTCCCTTTCAGTTTTGGCCTGTGCATGCGTACCATGGTTATTTTTATTCATTTCTTTAAACCAGGCCATGATGGGCCTCCTGGAGATCGTTTTTGGTTTCTGGAGGACGTCATCCATGTCTTGACTTTCGGAGATGTGCAGATTCGTCAAAACGGATTCTGCATTCTTAGGGACATCCCCACTGAAGGGGGACCGGTTTTCAGTTGCATTGACATTTGTCTCTTGTTTTTCATTTGGGGTTTTGTCACCCAGTAGGTCATGTTCTAAACCATTTACCATGTTCAGATTGCTGAGAGTGACCGGGAGGTTATGAAAATGCCTGGTGACTTCAGGAGGCTGGCCGTTCTCCATGGCTGAGCTAGCGCTGGTGGCTTCCATGGTTTCTTCTTCACACAGGGGCCTAGGGTTCTGTAATATCCTTCTGTCTGCATGAAGTTCATGCTCCCAAGAGCTTATATCCAAGAGAGAAAATGGCTGGGAAGAGTTTGGAATTGAAGGGCATGAGGTGCTTGGCACAAAGGACGCTCTCTCACATGGATTTCCCACCACTTGACTCAGAGCACTGTGCTTTAATGGCAGAACTTTGGCCAACACAGGGCAGGGTGCAGCCTGGACAGGTGCCTGAGCAGTGGTTGAGGGTGGATTGGGGGAGCCATCTGTAGAACAAATCTCGATTTGCTCCTCCTCAGACTCTGCAGTGTCTTCCTTGTGAGAAGACCCCTGAGAACGAGGGGGTGACCAGTTGTCCCCAGTGGAAGCTCGTGGGGCTTCGGTGAGTGATTCAGGGTCAGAAGACGAGTCCTCCGCATCACCATACATGGATGAGAGAGATGGCTCTGTGCTGTCACCCAGGCCTGACAGAGACATGCTGTCTTCGTGAAAATTGCTGAAATTTCTAGAGTAGTTGCTCAAAAAGTTTTTGTTCACAGTAAAATGTTTGTCAGGATTAATGGAATCCAAAACTGAAGGCTGGGAGGCCCACTGTGGGTGAGGAGGCTGGCCAGCAGCTGCCCAGGCCCTCCTTGGGGTGGGGGTCTGGTTCCCCACGACTGGCTCAGCAGCGTGGGAACTCCCGCTTCCAGTTCCTGCTGGAGGCTGGCCCTGAGAAGGTCCCTCTTGACTCAGCTGTTCCCCTCTCTGAGGAGACTGAAGTCTTGGTTCTGAGGCATCCAGCTCCTTGATGAGTCTGTCGATGTCAGTCACAGGGCTGCCCCCACTTTCCCTGGGGCAGCAGTGGCCCGAGACACTGCCACACGCCTTGTCAGCAGGGGACGGCAGGGTGGGGCTGGCCTGCGGGGCCCTCTCAGCCCCAGAGTCTGCTGCCTTGAGCAGAGAAGAGCCCTGGGAGTTTTCAGGAATGACGACTCCTGTTGTTTGCAGAGCCTTGCTGTGGTTACCGGGAACTCTCTGTCTCTCCTCCTGGGGCGTGAGGTCTGGGGACAGGACGGTACTAGCTGGAGATGCTCCGTCTGCCTCAGGTCCTTCCCTGTGGGGAGCTGCCTTCCTGGGCGAGTTGGCTTCTGGGGCTGCTGGAGTGTTGCCGAAGTCACGCCGAACCACTGTCATCTTCCCGGGGGGTGAGCTGCGCTCTGGGGCGAGTCTGACTTGACATCCGTCCTCAGACTCCGGAACCCTGGGTGACACTGGCTCTCCGGGGTTCTCAGGCTGCCTGCCTTGCCGTGTGTCCGCTGATGTCTCGCTGGGGTCAGGGTGAGCTGCCCCCTTCTGCCCTGGGGTAGGGCCAAGGTCTGGGGGGCCATCCAGTCCTGGGTTGAGAATATAAACGAAAGGCGGGGTGATAGGGGAGAGAGAGGGGAAAATGAGAAAATAGAAAAACTCAAAAAAAAAAAAAGAAAACTTAACAATCTCAAATTTTTTTTCCCCCAGAAGGACCTGCCACAACCTAAATGTAGCCTTCTTGTCGTTCTCATTTTGCCTCTGAAATTACAGAGCACTCACATCTAACAAATACCACCCTGCTCTAGATGCTCTGAAATAACTCAGACTGGCTGGCAGAATAAACCTTTGTTTCTGCCCCTTTCTCTCTTGGTTATTTTTAAGGATGGGGACACCAGAAATCCTCCACTGGGGTCTCTTCACGCCATCCGCTCTGATGGCTTCAAAAGCTACAGGAGTCAGGCTGTGGTTCTGTTTCATCCCTTAGCTTTGCACTCATTCTGCGGAGGTCTCGGGTCTCCAGTTTAGCTCTCATCGTGGGTTTGGCCTCACGGTGTGGGGTTGTGAGCCGTGCAGTAAAGTATAAAACAAGTGCTGACCTTTGGGGACTTACTGCTCAGTGCAGGAGAGGAGAGAGGAGGCTAATTTGGGAAGACACACGGGAGCTGCAGAAGGGTGCAGGCTCGCACCATGTCTGAGCCGCTTCTTGAGCGTGTTCAGAGGACTGGGAGAACTGGAGGGCCGCGTGACCTGGGAAGCGTGGACAGAAGGGGTGGGGACCTGACGGGGGTCCTGGGGGGAGAGTTGACCACACAGTGATGAGGAGGAAGATGAAGAAAAAAAATGGAATGAAAGCAGGGAAGAAAGAGCATGTGATCGGAGGGGTGCAGGGAAAGGTGTTGATGCCAAGGACAGCAGGAAATGGTCATTCCATGAGGTGGGTTCCGGAGAGCCACTGTCCTGGAGGTGCCTCCTTATAAGGTCCTGCACACTCTTGGGCTAATCTGTTCTCCTCTGGCACATGGCATCTGATAATCAGGGGAAACTGGCATAAAAGAGAACATTAGATTTGCTGTTTTCTTAGGAACCAGGGGTTACAGTGAAACAGTCACAATGAAAGCACCAGCTTTGAGAAGACTGTCTCCCCAAATGTTACACTCCCTCCACATCTCCCATGCAAACCATCTTTTTTTTTTTAAATGTTTTATTTACTTATTCATGAGAGTCAGAGAGAGAGAGAGAGAGAGGCAGAGGCAGAAGCAGGCTCCCCGCCTAGCAGGGAGCCCGATGCGGGACTCGATCCCAGGACCCTGGGATCATGACCTGAGCGAAGGCAGACGCTTAACCATCTGAGCCACCCAGGCGCCCCTCCCATGCAAACCATCTTAATTGCAGATGCCTTTCCCCTCCTGAAGTTCCTATGTCAACAATTAAGGACTAATTATTAGGACTTAGCACTATGCTAAGAGTTTTTCATGCACTTAATTTTCCTCCCAACACCGTGAGGTAGGTCCTGTCACCATCTGCTTTGGAAAAGTAGGGAACTGAGGCACGGTGTGGCTTTGCAATGGATCCAGGGTCACAGAGTGTATAGCCAGAGGTCACCTGGGAAGTCGGCCCCACAGCCCACCCCATTCTCTAAACCCTGATTGCATGACCTCTGTGTAGAGAGCACCTGGCCACAACAAGGTCGGCCCATCAAGACACCTGTGGAGACTGTGCTTAACTTCCCCAGGCCCCCGTGGAAGGCGAGGGTCATGCCAAGATTTGAATCCCTGGGCTCCTGTCCTTCTCTGCTCAACCTTTTGAATTCCCTTTCAAATGACTTTCCTGCTTCTGCTGGTGCCAACTATGGGGAAAAGTCATAATGACACAAAAGGAGGGGATTTGAAGGTTATTCTTTAGCTTTGGATTCACTTGCTGAACAAACCCTAAATTTTTGTTAGCAATTTGACTTTATTGCAAAGTGTGTAACTGAAACGAGTTTTTGAGGGAGATTAAATGACATAGAGGCAGTCCTTGATGTCACCTTTCAAAATGATCCTTCCCTTTACCCCTCCCCCCACAACACACACAAATGCCCCATAATGGGAGGGATGTTTACTCAATTATGGCACATGATGGGGAGGAGGGCCCAGCAGCCTTTGCAAACGATGTTGCAGGTGCATAAGGACATGGAAGATATCGGTGCAGTTTCCTAGCTAGAGTGGGGCACAGAGGTGCTGAGACGGACGCATCAGTGCTTAGGAGGGCCTGCCAGGGGCCAGCGCCAGTCATGCGGGCCAGGAGCATCTTGTTGACCTCAGCAGGCCGCGCAAACATATTCTGCGGATGCAGGAGGTACAAAATATTTCTCAGTGCATTTGATTTCACGAGAGCCGAGTGTTGAAATTCTGAAGGGCAGGAACTTCTCTGTGTCATCTCATGTCTCATTCATTAAGGTACCCGTCACAAAATAGGTAAAGCGTGTCAAGTGGCTGAAAATGGATATACTCTGATGTGGAAATAAAGCTATGAGTTTAGGCACCACGATCTAGTGAAGTTGTTAAATGCAGGCAGCTTGTAAATATCATTAATCTGTGTAAGAGGTTTTTTTCCCCACAAAGTTCTCCACATGTAACATCTTTATTAGGGTAACTTCTGCCCTCCCATCTTGAAGCTTAACAAGCAATGAAATAATCTTACCTGTCCCGGGTTGTTGCCCCTGCTCTGGTGCAGCTTCAAGCAGGTTCTCGGTGCCGCGGCCAGCATCTGGGTGGGGCGGGGCACTGGCAGGCCCCCAGTTGGCAGGGACATGCCCATCGCTGATGGTCAGCTTCCCCAGAGATTCCTAGCCCAATGACAACCACAAGTCACTGTCAACAACTTTCAGGTTTTCTGCACCCTAAGACATCACACACGGAAAAGCACTGCTTTGGGAAATTTCAGAGAGCCCTCGACTAGGAGCCACAAGATCCAGATTCTGGGTGTAAGGCCTGCTAGAAATTGCACGGTCTTGTTACTCTTCCTAAGCCTCTGTTTTCTCAACTTTGAAATGAGGGTGATCAGGGAAATGCAAATCAGAATCACGCAGAGATGTCACGTCACACCTGCAAGGGTGGCTATGATCCAAAACAGAAATAACAGGTGTTGGCGAGGATATAGAGAAATTGGAACTGTGTGCATTGCTGACGGAAATGGGAAATGGTGCAGCCACTATGGAAAATAGTACAGAGTTTCCTCAAAAAAATAAAAATGGAAATACCATATGATCCAGATATCACACTTCTGGATATATACCAGAAGAATTAGAGCAGGTTCTCTTAAGAGATATGTGTACTCCCATGTGGATAGCAGCGCTGTTCACAAATAGCTAAGATGTGGAAGCAGTTCAGGTGTTCATTGACAGAAGAATGGATAAGCAAAATGTGGGATTGACATACAATGGAATATTACTCAGCCTTAAAAAGGAAGGAGATTCTGACACATGCTACAATAGGGCATGATGGACAGCGACATTATGGACAGTGAAATAAGCCAGTCACAGAAAGACAAAACTGTCTGATTCCATTTAGATGAGGTACTGAGAGTCGCCAACATCAGAGAGACAGAAAGCAGACTGGCGGTTTCTGGGAGCTGGTGGGAGCGGGAATGGAGAGTCACTGTGTAATGGGTACAGAGTTCTCTGGAGACGGCCATGATGGTTGCACATTATGAACATATACCACTGAACTGTACACTTTTGTTACGTGTATTTTACCACAGTAGAAAAACTGGGGACAAAATGGGCATAAGATTTGCCCTAACGCACAGTTTTATTTTTTTAACTTTTCTTTTTTTGAGAGAGCGAGTGAGCAAGAATCCTAAGCAAGCTGCCATGCTCAGCATGGAGCCTGACACAGGGTTTGATCCCATGACCCTGAGGTCATGACCCAAGCTGAAGTCAAGAGGTGGATACTTAACCAACTGAGCCTCCCAGGCGCCCCTCATAGAGTTTTAAATAAAAGATTAAATGAGCCATTATAAAAATCACATGCAGCCCACAAAAGGATATATCGACGTAAGGTGTTGTTGTCTTTATACCGCATAGTGATACCCAAGACTGTAAGATCAGCTCCTCAGTTTGGTACTTAGGGCTAGGACTTATCTGGATAAATGAAATTGACATTTAATATTCCATAATTTCACTTTAGCCAAGTGTCAATTACTTTATCTTCCTTTCTTCTACCTAAAACCTACTGTAAAAAAAGAAAGAAACTTGCTAGGAAGTTAAATCAGATTTATTTGAAATTCACTCTCTGAGTTAAGGAGTCATAAAGTGGCCCAAAGGTGGCCGCAGAGGAGAGAGCTGAGCTGTATTTTAAAATGTTTAATTTTATGTTATGTGATGTTCATCTCAATTTAAAAAGTATTAAGTAAAAACAGTAGAAGACAACCCACTTACCAAAGGTTTTTTCTTTTTAAGATTCCAAAATTTGAGCGTAAATACTTAATGGCAATGCATTTTATTTTCTTTCTCATGTAAAAATGAAATGGTATTTTTGAACTAAATTTTTTATGAGAAGAATTAAACTTTTGTGCAAAAGTTTTAAATGCTTCTCAAAATTCTTATTGGGAATACTCATTTACAATAACAAAAGCTCTATATGGATATGAATATATTATTATGAATAACACCCCTGGTTTATATAGTTATCCAAAACTGGCTGAGGATACTTTTTGAAAGAAGGGGTTTAACCTATTAGCTGAACATTGCATAATAAAACACATATGCTAGGGGGCCCTGGGTGGCTCAGTTGGTTAACCTCTGCCTTTAGCTCAGGTCATGGTCCCAGGGTCCTGGGATTGAGCCCCTGTGTTGGGCTCCCTGCTCAGTGGGGAATCTGCTTCTCCCTCTGCCCCCCCCGCCCCCGCTTGTGCTCTCCCTCCCTCTCTCTCTCTCTCTCTCAAATAAATAAACAAAATCTTAAAAAAACAAACATATGCTAGTTGGAAGTAATAACATTTTTTAGGAGGACAAAGAAAGATGCATGTTTCTTTTTCTATACAGTTAACAAAAATCCCTTCTGCCTAATATAGTTTTTATGACTTCATATTTTCTGGGTCTGTTTACATGTATGTTTGTATAAACCACTTGAACATGCATCTTTATAAATATGGCCTTAGAGTCACCTCAGAGAGAAACTATTTATGTTGAGATCGTAAACAACATTAGTTTCTCTTACTCTCTCCTTGCTTAAGTGGGGGTATACTGATTAAAAACGAGCAATTTGACCATTCTGGGTCATTCTAGCGTATGTGTAACCAATTTGTAACATAAATAATATTGACTTGCCTCTAAAGTGGTGTGTTACAAATTTCTTTTTTTTTTCGTTTAAGATTTTATTTTTAAGTAATCTCTACACCCAGCATGGGGCTCAAACTTACAACCCCGAGATTGGGAGTCACATGCTCCACTGACTGAGCCAGCGAGGCGCCCCAGTGTGTGATCAGTTTCTAGCATGCCTGTTATTTCACGTGATTCTCACAAGGGTATGAGTAGCTTTGATTACACATAATGACCGTAGAAAGCCTGAAAAAATGAGGGTCGCTCAGAACCTCATGAGCTGGAGGGAATCACTGTTAAGCTGTGTTTGATGGTCAGTCCAGCTCTGAGAGATGATCGGGGTCAATAACTTGCCTCAGTGGTCACCCAGCTCGTGAGTGGAGCAGACCCAGTGCTCTTCATCAGCCTCCCGCTGCCCTTCGCTCATCCACCATGGCCCCGTGTCCGGGTAAGAGAGCTATTTCATCTTACGGCAGGATGATCGATGACCCGATCCCTGGGCACGGTCCCCCACCCACCTGCTGACACACAGACAGGCTCCCCAGCAGCCTGTGGATGGCAGTGAACAACTGCTGAAACAGAAGCCTCCAACCATTCCCCCCTTCTGGCAGGTTACCCCCTCCTTTCTCACACACCTCATCCTCACTCACACAGTAGTGACTCAGGTGCCAAGTTACGAAGAGGAAATCAGTTACCTTCTCCACAGTGCCCCCTGGATGAACACCAGTCCTGGTCTCTTTGACGGAAATGGCCTGGACACATGGGTCGTCGGCTCCATCAGTCAGGTGTACTGTCGCTGAGTTGCTGGGCCTGGCATCAGCCTCGGGCCTTCTGTGATGTGGGCTGACCCTGGCCACTGGTTTGTGCCTGGACCCCAGGCTGTCATTCTTCTGCTGGGCAGACCTGGGGGTATCTGTGTTCCCCAGACTCTGGCTGCCTGTGTCGGCTTTGTATTCCAGTTTGGGCGAACTCCTCGATCCTGATAGTTCCTTCCTCCCCGAGCAGCCAGGGCCACCCTTGGGGGCTACTGCAGAGGCCAACAGGTTGGCTGCCTGGGGAGGAGTGTCCCCCACACCCTCTGGGACACTCTCCTCTGAGTCCCGTGAGCTGCCGAGGAGAGGCACTGAGGAGGCCTTGCTGACCATGGTTTTCTGGGGCTGTGCCCCCCGGCTGTTGATACCCATGACCTTGAAAGAGGTCATCAAGATGTGCCGTGAGTCATCCTCCGCCAGAGGCCTGCTGGGACCGGGGAGGGACCCCGGGAGGGAAATGCAGTCCCCTTCCCCGTCAAACTCTCCCTCGTCGGTGGCATCGTCCGTGTCGTAACACCCCACCCTCCTCTGGCGGAGGAGCGGGGTCCGGAGGAGCTGCGGGCTCCCAGGGAGACTGGCTTGTCTGGCAACCGTCACCTGCTTGTGGAGGAGCCCAGAGGCCCGCTGGCTTCCTAGCGTCACGAGGCTGTTGGCCCTGGGTTTTCCTGGCTTTTTGTGAGCTGGTGGGGATGGGGAAAGAAACGGCCAAATGAAACAGGGTTTCCCGGCCGGGCTGGTTTTGCACCCTTCCCTCCCCCCCCCATTACACAGGAGCATCCCCACAACTGCCAGCCATTCATCCTCTGGCCACTGACCACCGGCTTTAGGGATACGGCTTCTTGGGATTTGCACCCAGTGGACAGCGGCTTCTCGCTCTCCTTTTCCTACTGGCCTCCTTTTTTGTTTGCTTAAATTTCTTTTTTTTTTTTTACTTCAACCTCTGGATTGTTTAGCTTAAACATGTATGCTTCCTAGAGACAGAAATGTTTAATTCTACGCCCAGGATGCCTGCCACCACTGCTGGGGTTCAGACTACATGCTGTTGCTGGGAAGTCCTCTTTGGGACGATGCCCGGAGAGCAACCAGCCCCGCATGCTGGAACCTTCTTACCACATGAGGCCCTTCCTTCATTTGCGGAGACGGGGGCGGGGGGCATAGAAGCTCCTAGAGCATGGTACAGGGAAGCCTGAGATTATTATCGATACGAGTTCCAAGCAGGGAGGAGGGAAGGCCCCTGCTGCTCAGCAGACCCTTCACAGCTTGCTGAATGTACAGAAAAGTACATGGGCTTCCACCATGTGACAGAAGTGCTGCTGTCGGAAACAAGATTACGCTTGTCCGCTGTTCCAAATGAGAGCCGGAGTGGTCAGGTCTCCCTGTCCTAAGACAGGGATGTTCTTGGGCAGACATTAGAAGTAAAAAAACAGAACAAAGGGGGAAAAAAAGCAGACCACAGCAGCAGAAGCCCGAGGAATCAGTATGGTTCGCGTCAGCTCATTCTCTCATATTATAGTGAGAGCGTGATCAAGGAGATTTGCAAACAACTGTTTGATAACATCGGTCTCTTATGAGTTCTGAATCTTTCACTCAGCTGCCTTCTAAAAAGGAGTCAGTTAGGGCCTGGTGAGGGAAGGGACCTAGAATTTCACTAGGAATCCCCTAAAACAGAAGGCTGTTAGCTTGCCACCCTGATTTCATGCCATTAATTTCAAGACGATGCTAGGTAAGCCGCATCTAAACGCTGTCCAGGTTAGCCACCTCCAACACCCAGGATACAGAACGTGCACTCAGACCCTTCACCCCAGAACCGAGGGGCCAGTCAGCAGTGGGGGGCTGCATTTTCCAAAAGTAAGTTCGGAATTTAGTCAGGGTACAAAGATGGCTTCTACTCGACCAAAGGCGTGACTTCCAGGTCCCTATTCACATTATACCGCCCTGCTATGTAAACCAACGGGGCCCGAGTCAGAAAACAGGCGTTGTTGGGGCACCTGGGTGGCTCAGTCGTTAAGCATCTGCCTTCGGCTCAGGTCATGATCTCGGGGTCCTGGGATTGAGCCCTTCATCGGGCTCCCTGCTCTGCGGGGAGCCTGCTTCTCCCTCTCCCACTCCCCCTGCTTGTGTTCCCTCTCTCGCTCTCTCTCTCTGTCAAAATAAATAAATAAAATCTTAAAAAAAAAAAAAAAAGAAAGAAAACAGGCGTGGTTTACTAGAGGTGCTGGCTGGCGGGCCACTGTCCTCAGAGGTGCTGCAGCCGCTGCCTGGGGGGTCCTCGTCCTCAGAGCCGGCCACCGCGAGGTCTGACAGGGAGCCTGGGACACCGTGGGCAAAGTCCTGGGAGGCTTCGGGTTCAGAAATCAGGGCATCCTGTTGGAGAAGATGGTGCGGGCTGATGGGGGAGGCGTGCCAGAGGCCGGTTATCCGAAACAGTAACTCCTGGCTTTCCAAGAACACTTTGTTCTCATCCACGGTCATTTGAAACACTGGTGAGAGTGGACACCCACTTGCATCGACTCTAGGATGGCTAAATTAGACAACTGATGAAAATGGCAATGGTTGCTGCCAGACAAGGTTTTTAAGAGTTTTTTTTTTTTTTGGCCAAATGTTTAGCGATGACCAGAAAAGCCACAGCAGCGATTTATCAACCATCCCAGGAAAACCACTGGGGGGAAGCGATAGGAAAATGGAATGACATTCCAAGCCACTGGTTCGGCCTAGTGATGGAACAGAAAAGAGGGGGGTCTGAATCCTGTGCTCAGATCCACTGGGACTGAGGAATCACTAGCTGGGAAACATTCCAGTCTCCTTAAAGTCACAGGTCCCCCGAAAACCAACCGGAGACCCCTTTATTGTGGAGCAGTTTGAACACTGTTTTTAAACTGAAGTTCAGTTCTTTTATTTTGTTGCTCTATTCTTTTCTTAGATGAGTATTTAATAAAAGAAACACACATTTTTGTATTTGTTCTCAAATTAGCATTGTTGCCGTAGTCTGTAAAGTGGCTAAAATGACTCCTGGACAAAGATATGGGCTGGGCCCTCAGGTTTGACTTATGGGCCCCAGGAATTGGTTCATGGGCCAGCTGAGTGAGGCAGAGTGGGCCTTGACTCACCTTTTTTGCAAGAGAGGGACTCTTCAAGGGGGTACCTGTTGGAGAGAAAATTCACCATAATGTCAAAACAGCAAAGCACACATCCTTACAAATAGGTTCACATTCTTAACCACAAAAGAAGGAGCCAAACATATTAACCCCTCTTTGCTTGACTTACACTGATGGGCCACGCGTATAGGTGTAGACATGCATGCACTCGACCTGGTACCCGATCCCTACTCCACCCCACCTCCCAAGGTTCTGCTCATGCTTCAAGCCCTAACTTGGATGTTACCACCTCCATGATAATCCCAGTTGGAGGTAACTTCTTCAGAATCTTAAAAGTATTTTATACTACCCATACACCAATTTTCATACACACAGTATAATTTAATTATAAGTGGATGCCCCTCATCTCCCTTCCTCAACTATTTATAAGGCTGAGACCCTCACTGATCTGACCCCACAGTGCTCAGCATTGCACCTGGATCTAGGAAGTATTCAGTGATATTAGTTGAATGGATTGAAGGATCAATGAACAAAGAAACACCACTCAAGAAACTCCTGAAGGAACTCGGGGGAGGGTTGAATACCTATTTTGGTTTTTAGTAGAAGGATGAAAAGATTTGGCATTGAAACTTTAAATTATATGCCATGAGCAAAAGGAGCTTGCACATGAGGTTCATAGCTTAATAAAATCTTTCGTAAATGATCGTGGGCATATGCTGGGATTATGAAAGGGCAGTTTGCAGGCAGGTCAGGAGAAGGGCCTGGCCGAAGAAAGAGCCCATTATGGCTGGGCCCACTTTGAATATATTAATTATGGATGCAAATAATCAGGGTATTCCATGGCTGCCAAAAAATCCTATGCCTTCCTTTTCCTCTGACAACCAGTAACTCACGTCTGTTTCTTTTTCTCCCGACATCAGTCTTGACATCAGTAATATCTTGAGTTGAGACATGTTTGCAGAGTCCCTTTGGATTTCCATTCTACTGGAAACATTTCTTTTTTTTTTTTTTTAAGATTTATTTGTTTATTTGGGAGAGCGAGAATGAGAGAGAGAGAGAGAGTACATGAGAGGGGGAGGGCCAGAGGGAGAAGCAGGCTCCTCGCTGAGCAGGGAGCCCGATGCGGGACTCGATCCAGGAACTCCAGGATCATGACCTGAGCCGAAGGCAGTCGCTTAACCAACTGAGCCACCCAGGAGCCCCTGGAAACATTACTTTTAAAACTTGATGCAATGTTTCCAATTTGAAATTCATAGGAAATTCTTACTATCTCAATCCTTCTCTGCCTGAACTTTCCCACTTAAGAAGGGGGAAATCATGATTTGGGGAGCTTCTACTATTATTCTTTTTCAGTTGAAACTTAAAAAAATATCTACTTATTATTGAAGTAAGGCTGCCATACTGGGTGGAAACCTTTAGTTCACGTAAAGAAACCCCAGGCTTTGGAACGGAGAACACTCTGTGTCTACCAAACAACTGATATTTTGGTATTACTTTTTACCTAGGCCATTTCAGATGAATTGTACATAAACAAATGAAATGCTGTTAACTCATTTTTGTAAATTATCTCATAGTGTAAGAAGCATGCATGATTAGAACTTTAATAAAGCACATTAAATAACAGTAGAAATCAAAAGTAGCAGCTAGGAACAAGCACGGGATCTCTTTGACAATGACTTCTGCCAAACCTGATAATGACGAAGACTCTAATATTGTGGCATGGGGCAGGGCCCCCTGGGGGAGCTTCCTGGAAAGCTCTACTCAATGCTGGACGAAGACGTGCGATTATAGTACCTGAGCCTGGAGAGGAGCTGGCCTCTTTGCTCTCCTGATAAGTGCTGCGTGCGATCACTGCGTCCATTTCCTGCTCGGAAACCTGATTTTCAGTAGAAAGCACAAATGAGATGCTTTTCTTTCTTTATTTTCCCCCAATAAAAGTAGCTAGGACCTGAGTCAGAGGTTGAGTGCTGATAAAGAGGGACATCACAGCGCCAAAGATTATGACTGTCCTTGGAAGCAATAACTCAGGGCATATAAGGACAGCTGGGTTAGCTGATTGCTTCCAACAATATGTTCAAAACAAGACCTTCGGCTGGTTCCCAAAGTCATTAACGTGCCCAGGTGCTATAGTTACCAACCACATGGCTGATACCTGCCTCTCTCTAGAACACTCACTTCTATTTCTTTTCTTCCTAGATTTTATTTAAACAATTGCAAACCTACATAAAGCTTGTAAAAGTAGCACAAGAGGAGTATACTCTTCACTGTTGTTGTTTTTAAACATTCTGCCATATTTACACTCATGCTCTTTTTTTAAGATCTTATTTATGTATGTATGTATTTATTTATTTGACAGAGAGAGAGAGAGGGAGGGAGAGAGAAAGCACATGAGCAGGGGGAAAAGCAGAGGGGGAGGGAGAGAGAATCTGAGCATGGAGCCCAATGCAGGGCTCGATCCCACGACCGCGAGATCATGACCCGAGCCGAAACCAGGAGTCGGAGGCTTAACTGACTGACAGCCATCCAGGCTCCCCACTCATGCTCTTTCTTAACACACAACACACAAACACACACACACACACACACACACACACACTGCCTCACTTTTTACTAAACCATTTGGAAGTTAGTTGCAGACATCATGAACATTCACCCAGAAATATTTTAGCATGTATCTCCTCAAAACAAGGACATTCTCTTCAATAACCCTGGTACTATTACCATTCTAGGAAACTTTTTTTTTTTATCATTCTAGGAAACTTAACATTGACACAAACGACTGTCTAATTTACATTTCATATTCCAATTTAGCTAACTGTCCTAATACTATCCTTCAGAAACACTATTCCAAGTGTGTCTGTAGACAGAGTAGTTCATAGGAAATTTGATGCCAGCTTGCGATGAGATAGGTTTTTCCTCCAGAATGCTTATCAACACTCAGTTTCTTTCACCAACAGTGTCCTCCTGGGGACTGTTGTGTCCACTGAACTGAGTGGTGTACATCATGAGGTAACTAACTTGCATTCTGGTGCGAGCTCCTTATCTTGTGGATCTTAGTAGATGGTCACCAGCCAACACCTTTGCATAGTAATGCTTCATAGAAATTTCATTTTTGGCAATCCAGAATTCAATTCAGGGTCTAGTTGTCATGTCTTTTTAGACTCCTTTAATCCAGAACATTGCTGAGCCTTTCTTTGTCACAGTATTGATATTTTGGAAGAAACCCAGGCCAATCAAACCCCCAATTAGGATTTGTGTGATAGTTTCTTCATGCTAAGATTTAGATTACGCATTTTTTTTTGGCAGAAAAACTACAAAAACTGTTTCCTCCTCATGCTTCAGAGAGGCACTCAGGGTCAGTGTTTCATGTTTCATGGCTGGTGATAACTGTGACCACTTGGTTAGGATGGAGTTCATCGGATTTCTCCACTGGATTTTTTTTTTTTTTTTTTTTTGGTCATCAATGAGTGATCTATGAGGAGACAGCTTGAGACAACATCAATATCCTGCTCCCCAGTATATTTTTACTCAATAGTTTTAGCATCATTGATGATTTTTACTTGGATCAATTTTTACAATGAACTTTTCAAAACAGTCATTTTATAACTCTTCTTTTCTTTCTGTATTTACCGGTATCATGGTAGATTCATGGATTTTTTTTCCGCCATCAGTTGTTATCCATAACTGTCATTATTCATGGAAAAGAATTTTTTAAAGCCTGACATATGCTGAATTATGAGATATTTTAAAAGACAATTACATAACTTGCATAGAATTTCTTTTTTAAAGGTAAGAATACTGTAAAGTTAGAATGGTAATTTTGTGTAGTAAAATAACATTTAGCATAAATAATATTTGGATAAGCATAGCAATTTGTCCTCATAAGTAAATAAAGCTATGCAGGATTCAGCATTACATTTTAACCTAACAGATAAATCATGATCACATGTTTTTGTAATACTTCCTAGCAGGCTTCACAGGAAATAAAACACATACACATACATGCACACAGGCATATACATGTGAATACACACACACACTTCATAAAGCAAAGAGTAATTTTGTATAAATGAGTCAGGGAAAAACAGCACCTTAGACAGCGGTTGCAAATTTTTCTTGACATTAGACTTACAATATTTGCAACTATTTTTCTGAGTGGGAAAAAAAATGGCTGGGGTTTGAAACAAGTGAAAGATTTCCTAGATAATTCTATTCATGCTGAGAACCCCAGTACCAGTTAAAAATGGACCCCTCTGACCTTCTTCTGGCAAGTCCAAATCTTAGCTTGTCTAGACCTGGAGGGTTTGAATATCCCAGTTGGGCAGCCACTGCTCCAGTCATTATGAGAAACAGAAGAAAAGAAAATCCTTGTGGTATTTCTACTGGAACAACATGAAAACTAAGGAAGCACATACATTCAGTACCAAAATGTACTATTGGCATGAAATGCTGGGGTGAGTGGTATAAAAATACATTAAACATAAAGTGGAATCTTGACCAAAAGAAAAATATAGTATGATGTTACAACTAAGAACACCATGTTTACCTAGGAAGAAATGTGAAATCTAGTCAAACAAATACTGAAATCTGGTTTTGCTGGATGTATCTCCAATGCCATCATGACAACCATTTTACTGTGGCTAGAAACATGAATCAACCTGTATTCAACAGGCTCGCAGACCACCCGTCCATCAGGATTATTATGCTTTGCACGGAAACGCCATTTTGATGTTTGATTGTATTGGCAAACTGGGCAGATGCTTTTGGGCTGAGTTGAGGCAGACCTCCAAACAAATCGTGACCTGTGCTATGTTGGAATGGATTTTGAAGTCAGACATGCCTGAAGCCAATGACTGCAAATCACTGAGAACTGATTTTTTTATAATGTTGCTGAGGGACGTGCTAGGTCAGCCCAAGCTTATTGGACTGCTTTGGAAGAGGGAAGGGGGAAAGGGGAAGGCGGAAGAGGGTATGGCCATGCAGGTGATGGAATCCAAGGGAGGACCCTGGAGGAAGGGGCCAAGACCACTCTAGCTGTGAGTATGAGGCAAAATGCTGTTAAAAATGACCCCAAGAGAGCCATGGGAGACAGCGGGAAGACGAGAAGAGGCTGTAAGGGAAAGTGTTAGGACCACAACATAGAAAGGAGGAAAAATAGGAAGTGACAAGAGAAAAAATGGAAAAAGGTAGAAGCGGACTTGGTTTTGTATGAATGATATTCAAGAAGTTTTTATTTAAAACATACATGAGAATGCACGTAGACAAGAGAAGACAATCTGGGGAAAAAAACAGTAGCGGATTTGACTTTGAATCAGTCTAATGGCAATTGTTGACCAAGCACTGTGGAGAACCAGTACAACAGACCCCACTAAGACACTAAAAGTGATGCCATAAAATTAACACACGAAAGAAATCTCAGACATGGGAGGACCCATGAGGTGTCTCCGCACAGACTTCTTACTCTCAAAATGGCATACAAGTCCAATAAGCAGAGCAGCCTGGGCCCATTTAGGACATAATAGTATAAATGATACAGAGGAGGTGGTCATAGGACAGGCACAAAAAGGGCTAATGTTCTTAAGGAGCATTTTGAGTTGTTGGAAGGAAAAGGTTAAATTTTGTAAAAATACAACCTGATTGCAATATTAGAGACAAGCCAATTTAAAAAGATTTTTACATCAAGTACTCGAAACAACAACAACAAAAAAATAGTGCTCAACACAGTAGAATCTAATTTGCTGAAGTGGCTTCTGGTTAACCTAAAAAAATTTGAAACAACTACTTAAGTATAGAAAAGACACAACCAAATACCAGCAAAGGCCGAGGATACAGGGGCTATGATTATCTGCAAATTCCACAAGGTGATATTGATGCTGAAAAAAAATTAGTGGGCTCTTAAGCCTTAATTACAGAAGTATTCTGCTCAGGATGAGGATGGCCTAGAGGGACCATTTAGTCCACTGCTCTCAGATTTTCTTGATGCAGAAACCCAAAAAAGGTTAAATATCTCACCAGAGATCAAACAACCAGCTGGGACTTACTCAGAACTGAGCACTCTTATCTTCTACCACATTTTATATTCACCAATAACAATGTCAAAATTTTCTAATAAAATTTCTAAGAGTGTGAAGACAAAGACATCCAGATAGTGATTTGTTTCCCATGTGTATCGGTTACCTTGGTCACCGCGGGACCACAAACTGATGATTCCCATGCCGAGCTGGGTAAACTGTCTCACCAAAGAGGGTGCACCATCATAGGAACACATGTCTCACTGCTTCAGGACAAATAGCCATGCCATCTTCCCATACTCAGAACAATATGAAATACTTCACCTTTGGGTTAGGGTGCCGGCCGATGACAAGGCGAACGGGTCCTGGGGGGCATTTGCTCAGGATGGTATGGACCTTGCTTAAAGCAGCATGGCGGACATTGACCGAGTTCACTTCCAGGATTTGATCTCCGCGGCTAGGGAGGACAAATGACCAATACTCTGTGGTAACAGTTAGCTTTTTACAAGATCTCCTTCTGGGAGAGGTTTATAATATGAAATCTCTTCTGAATACCTTAAACAAGCAAATGACATCCTTTTGTCTTTGCATATGGGTAAAAAAGCAACACATTCATATAAACAAAGCACTGTACATAGCAATACTTTGAACAGGTATTATTATTCCTATTATTTAGATAAGGCCCCAGGCTCAGAGAGCTCACCCTGATGTCACACACTGTTGAATTCAGGTCTGTCTACCTTTTGATCATCACAAGATAGCCCCTTGACCACCATCATTTTTTTTCCTACCATCTTGAAATGATTATTGTCATATCATTTGAGGAAGAAATACCTGAAGCTCAAAGGTTACCCAAGAGTTTGTAAAACCGTTTCAAATTTGAACAAATGAGAAATTGGGGACAAGATGCCCATTTTGACTTGAAATTATAGGCAGAGAACTCACTATGAAAGAACAAAGACTCTTTATGTGGGGTTTGAAGAATGTTCATTTGGCAGGCTCCAGACATATGGAACCATTCAAGAAAGAAACATCATCTTGGGATGTCATTAAAGGATTTTTTTTCCTGGGGTTCTAAAAGTATATTTTCTTTAATGTACTTTGGATGATTTGCTAAAAAATTTTTTTTGTATGGAAATTCACTCTGATGATTAACTAAAAACATAATATAATCTATTGACAGGGCCCCAAAATGGCAACCTTAAGGAATATCATTTTGACAATTCCTCAACTGCTCAAGGACTTGGAAGCTTACAGGGGAGAAAGGTGATACTGTTTGCACAGGGTGCTTTGTGCAATGTGTGTACTTCTTGTGAAGTTTAGGTGGGCACAGGCCCATTGCAGTCACTCCGAATAGAACACCCAGACGTCTCTTTATAAACAGAACACCCATGCTACCAATCAACTAGCCGGATTGAGAAATCAGACACACAGTGATTTCAGACAATAAGCATCTAGACAACATCACTCAAAAAGGAATGAAACAACAGGAAAGACTCAAGAGATTATACTTAATCATAAAGGCCTCCTGGTGAAGGGCGGCTGTTAGGAGCAGTTCCTAGCATCACATATGAATTTTACATAAATGAATATAAACATGAAAGAAAATACTTAGATAATCATAGATACCTGTACAGAATTGTATTTTGTCAAGTTTCTGAAACTGAGCTTCTGAGTCTAAATAGATCAAAGTAGGCAAGCCAAGATGCAGAGTTCTCTACTTCAACCCAATTTCAATTAGATTAGCTTTTCCCCTTTCAGGAAATGCTATTGATTGTAACCTGGGCTACATTACTGCCAATAATACAAAAGTTTAGGATCTCACACAAGGATGTAATAGGGCAGGATACCTTACATGTACATTCATTCATTCATTCATGAACGCGTGAGAAGCCTCTACGATCGGGTTTACAACAAACCTCAGATTGCTCTCCATCTTGGCCACTGAGCCTGGGGCCAGGCTGTGAATGTAGATCCCTGGAGGGCTGTTCTCCAGAGCCAGGCAGCAGGCACCAATGCCTAATCCAACTCTTGGCTCTGTGAGAGGCATCGGTCAAAGAAAAAAAAAAATATAAGTGATCTGAAGCTGCATTAATGTATATTCAGACCAATAACCATTTATTTGTGACCAGACTCAGAATGGAAATCCTGCTTTCCTTTGTCAACATCATCATATTCTGTAAATGAAATGAGTTCACGGCAGACTAGGCTAACTATGGGCTGTGAATTATTCAGCGGTCCGCTCTCTGCTTAGTCTAAAGAGCCTCCTCAAGTCTGTTTCTGGAAATAGACAGAGTCAAAGTAATTATATATATATATGTATATCTATCTTTTTTTTTTTTTTTTTAAAGAATAGTAATCTCTGCACTCAGTGTGGGGCTGCAACTCACAACCCTGAGATCAAGAGTCGTGTGCTCCACTGACTGGGCCAGCCAGGGGCCCCAATATTTTTTATTCTGGATACACAGCTTTAAGTTTTCTTTCACTTGCCTTTTTTAGCAATTAATCTCTTGGTTTTTTAAGTGCTCATCATATTTCTGTAGTAGGTGTAGAGAAAAAGGAAAGAAAGACGAAAAGCAGTAAGATTTGGTGAAGACCCACAACTTTTAGTTGTTGACTGTATTTTTTTTTAATATTTTATTTATTTGTTTGACAGAGACAGTGAGAGACGGAACATAGCAGGGGGAGTGGGACAGGGAGAAGCAGGCTTCCTCCTGAGCAGAGAGCCTGATGCGGGGCTCGATCCCTGGACCTTGGGATCATGACCTGAGCCGAAGGCAGACACTCAACGACTGAGCCACCCAGGCGCCCCATGTTGACTGTATTAACTATAATCTTTGGTTTTAAAAAATTTTTTATTTATTTGAGAGAAAGAATGAGTGCATGAGTAGGGGGAGGGGCAATGGGAGAAAGAGAAGCAGTCTCCCCCACTGAGCAGGGAGCCCGATGTGGGACTCCATCCCAGGACCCTGGGATCATGACCTGAACCAAAGGCAGATGCTTAACCGACTGAGCCACCCAGGCGCCCTGTTCTTTAAAATTTTATATTAGCCCTAGAATTAAGCCAGTCTGTGATTTTTCTTTCTTCTTTTTTTTTTTTTTAACATGAGTTTCTGACACACAGTGATTCATCTGGGGAGAGCTTAAAAGACTTTTTGTGCTAGTGCTAACTTCTTTTCACTTTAGTAAAATGACTAAAATCTCTACTTTTGATCCCACTGTCCATTTAGAGACTACCATACATTGTTGGCAGCGGATTGTTCCAAAGGAACAATTTATAGAAAAAATATAAAAGGTTATCCTAAGAACAGATTACAAATTGTTACTTGAGAGAATGCAGTGAAAGTGAGGAAGAGCTGGTATCACCTTTGTTGAGTGTTACTTCCATGACAATCCTGTCCTTGGGCCCAGGGGCCTTCCGACCCAGGGACGAAGAGCTGCCTTCATCAGAGCCTGCCGCTGAGCTGCCCCCGCTGGTGTTGAAGTTTGGGGAGCTGGATCTGCTCATGTGTGTGGGTGTGGAGCAGGGCGTGAGGCTTGGGCTCAGTAACTTTGTGCGTACCGTTAAGACAAATAATCCGCTCCGGATTTGCTGAAAAACCAAGAGGACAGAAGGGCAAAAACATTCAGACTGTTCCTAGATCGAAGGGTGGAAAAAAAAATCTCAAACCCAAACCAGAAGGAAATAAAGGAAGAAAACTAAAGAAGACAAAAGAGATAAATACGAATGTTGTTACCTTAAAGGTATGAATGGCTTCTTGGAATGTCAAGCCCTTTATTGGTATTCCATTTACATCAAGGATTTCATCCCCTAGTGACCAAATAGGAGAATTACATTAACATTGTGCTTTAGAAGAGGATAGCATATGGTACCTGATTTACAAGTCTATAAAATGATTTTTATTGTTCCAGTGCGCTTTCATTAACTTAGCTCCCAGGAATTTCACAAAATGGGACAACTAATAACAATGCATATTCTTTCGCAGTATTTCTGTATCTCCATCTTTAATGAAAACAACTAGGGGACGTATCAAGACCTTATTCTTTAGCCATTGCCAAGTGTGATAACAGGAGTCCTACGTTTAGAGATCAAAATGCAATAATGAGTCCCAAGTCTTTCCACACAGTGTTTAAAAACTTAAGGCCACTGGCAATAAAGCAAGAACATATACAACATGTGAGAAATCCACTTCTGTATTTGTAGAAAGACAAGATTTTTGACCTTGGAGAATCATCATGGGTTGTGGACAACTGTTTTAATAACAGAGACAAAAACTTTTGAGATATTATTTAAGAATGGCAGCCCTGCCTCCAGAAATAGTCTAGATGCCTGGTCTTCTTGATGCTGTTTCAGGTTCTCAGTCATGAAGCTGGTCAATCACTACGTGCTTCTATCTAAGAGATTATTGTGGGCTAATGCCAAGTTGCTCTCTCATTCATTCTCTCTCTCTCTCTCTTTCTCCCAAACTATCCTGGACTCATCCTCATCTTCAAGCCCAAGAAGGTAGAGTCAGGTCACTTTTCCAGCTTGGACACCCTGTTGACCTGTAAGAGTTTGTTTTTGGTTTAAACTCTTGTAACACGGTCTGTGTTTTGGAATAACAGTTCATCAAAAACACGACAAAGGGGCCCCCGAGAGAAGAACAGATGAACTTCGTACAGCAGTTCAGGACAAAAGGGGGACTTCCCTTACCTATAACAAAGTGCAAATCAGCATCAGAACACAGCTTTTCACCTCTCATGGACAGCTAAGCTCAGGAGCACACTGTGTATTCCACTAAAGGAATCCAGTAGATGAGTTTGAAAATGTAGCAGGACCCCATGCATTTGTTATGTGCTTTCTCTCTAATGCAATTACAGAAGTTGTAAAAGGAGTGAAATGACCTGTTTAAAAATAATCACCTAACTAGGTGAGGTTTTTGGTTTGCTTCCACATAGGAAATGATTGCTCATGCTCTTAAAAATCTCCCTCTGACCCTCTCCCCTCTCATGTACTCTGTCTCTCATTCTCGCTCTCTCAAATAAATAAATCTTTAAAAAAAAAAAAATCTTTATACAAGATTTTTAAAAGATCATTCAATACATTGAAAATCCATTCCAATGATTTACCTTTATTGTAAATGAACACGTATGAAAAAACAGTATTTAGGAGACTCAAGTGCTATTATCCTTTACTAACTACTGCTTTTCCTCCATTTCCCCCCATTTTACCAGAATTGCAGGATGAATTTCAATCAAATGAGCACATGGCACATCCATTATAAAAATGCTGTTAGAATTTCACATTGTTCTGAAACTAGATACAAATATCACCTGGGAGTTAATCCTTCCTCTAAGAGAGAGAAATATTCTGTCCTCAAAATAAGCCTGGTCACATCTTATCATTAGCATGTAGGCTCCTAGGGTAGCTCTGCCTAGAAAAAAGAGCCTCCAGTGGACTCTTACCAGTTAAAAAAATAAGCCAGCAGAACATAACAGTACCTACAATTTGAGTCAATTGAACTGACCAGTCACAGCATTTCTGAAGGTAACTACAAATGGTGTGATTTAGTCATTTCATGAAGGAAATGTGTTAATAAGGCAGGAAAAAAATTAGGGCTCACGGATAGGATCTAATGTCCAGCACAGTGACTATAGTTAGCAATACTGTTCTGTCCAGTTGAAAATTTCTAAGGGAGTAGATCTTAAATGTTCTCACCTCCCCCCATCATACACAGTCATTATATGATGTGATGAGGGTGTTAGCCAAATCAATGTGCTGCTCATTTTGCAATATATGTGTATGTCAAACCATCATGTTGTACGCCTTCAACTTACACAATGTTATGGATCAATTACATCTCAATAAAGCTGGGAGGAAAAAAGCACTCATTTAGTATGTTTATGCATGGCAAAATGGCAGGTGCTGTGGAGAATATAAAAGGTGTGTATGTACTCAGCCCTGAGGCAAGAATGGCCTGTAAACTCTCAGGAATTTTCAAGGCAAGGAACATGATCAAGGACCAAGGGGACAAGACAGACATTTAAAGACCTAAATAAAAAATATCAAATCATTCCACACATCTCATTTAATGCCCACAATGACTCCTTAAGATAGGTATTAATATTCCAAGTTTACAAACTGAGGAAAGTGAAGCTCAGGTTACATCAACTGTCCAAAGTCATGATGTAGTAAGTGTTGGATTCAGCTCAGGTCTACTTGACCCCCAAGACCATGGCCCTTGGCTGCTGTGCCACTGGTTTCACATCTTGCAATGGGGCAGATTCTGATGTAATCAGAGCTCACCACCACTGAGAACCACTGAGAGGCTTTCTCCTACCTTCTTTAAGTCTTCCATCCTCTGCAGCTGATCCATTTGGGAAAATGGTCTTGACAAAAATCCCCATCTGTCCTCGAATGCAGTCTCGACCTCCAGCAATGCTAAAGCCAAGGCCCTACACCCCAAGCAGAAGGGGGTCCAGGTTGTCATTGCAGTATTTAACTGAGGGCATCTGTTCTTGTTTCTATTTAACTGAGGCCTCCTTCCCAGCTAGGCTCAGAGTTAAGCTAACCAGCTATAAATTTAAATTTGTGTTCCCCTTTCCACTTCCTTCCTCAGATCTATTTGCATTGCGCTAGCTACGCATTACATTAAAGGGAGAAAGTTTTACGTTGAAACATATGAACTTGCCAGTATTTGACAACCTTTGATCTCCAAAAATGGCAACTTCACATGGATCGATTAATAGCTCAGGAGAGTCATTTCATACAATTCGGGTGCCATATTTATTTTATTGTTTTGTGTCAGTCTTTCCATTTTGTATCATGTCGAAATGGTTGTTTTGACATTTGTATAATACCAACTTTTTTGTATTATTCTCTTTGTGATAATGGCAATGTTATGAAATTCATTCAAAAGGATAACTAGGAATATATCCCCTGAAGCTACAGGGGTGGCTTTTCTTTCAATAGTAGTAAATGTTGGAGTATTCACTTCATCCTCGCCTGTGCCCTAGCTCCCAGGTGCTGGTGACTCCTTATGTCGTAAGGCCAAAAGGGTGTGACTCACTCAGCAGCCCACAGGAAAGGATGCTAGGGAATCCACTCAAATCTATACAAAGGCCACTTAATCTACTCCTCTTTGTATCTTTTATTTTTTATTTCATGTAAAAACAACAACAAAGTTAACCATTTAGGAAATATATGCTAACATTCACCTGGGGGCCAAAACAGTGAGCAGAAAGGAGCTCACCTTGCCTTTTTCTTTGTACAGCCCGATGATCGAGATGACCGATGGTCGAATGAGTCTCCAAGGAGATTCCACCTGAGTGGCGCTTAGGGAGCGCGTGGACTTCTTTACAATCTGGTATTCCTAAAAGTCAGCGCATGGCCAGATCAGGGATAGTCTCATTTACCCTTCTGGGGTCTCTGGCATCAAAATATATTCAGATTGTGAAAACCTCAATTGTCTTTTGGGTTAGACAGCCATTTCTCTGCGCTCCATCTCTGGTCAAGCAGCTAAAGGAGTTTATGATGAATCCCACTGGATTCAGCCATCCCCCTGCTGTAACATACTGCCACGCTTCCCTCTCCACAGAAAGAGCTGAATGGAGGCTGCAAGCACCCAGGGTTGCTCTTTCTTTGACCATACCCCATACATCCTACTTTGTGCTTTCTGGAATGGAGTCAGGAACCAGAAGCCGAGAGGCCTCAGAGACGTAGGAGGGCTATCCTGTGGTCAGGTTCTCCCTGGAAGCCGCTCCCTACCCCCATCCCAAGTTCACAACCATGGTTAGAAAGTATTTTGCCATGGCGCGCTTGGGTGGCTCAGTCGTTAAGTGTCTGCCTTCGGCTCAGGTCATGATCCCAGGGTCCTGGGATTGAGCCCTGCATCAGGCTCCCTGCTCTGCGGGAAGCCTGCTTCTCCCTCTCCCACTCCCACTGCTGTGTTCCCTCTCTCACGGTCTCTCTCTCTCTCTAATAAATAAATCTTTAAAAAAAAAAAAGTATCTTGCCATTTTAAGCTTAATTCGCTCAACCAAAAACGTAGCAAGCCCTTGTTTCTTATAAAACCCAAACCACAAACCCCGACAACTGTTATTCCACATAAAACACCCCACTGACAAACGGCAGCAGCTTCGGTTTTAACCCCTCACATTTGGAAAAGAAAATACTTTCCCGTCAGCCACCGTTTCCCCCTGTCCTGGCATGCAGAAGCTCAAATCTCAACCCCTTTCCTGTCCATCACCCACATGCACACGTATGTAAGCAGGGTACACTATTTATAACATAAACAAGAGTTTCAGCAAACCTATTGCTAAAGCACTTCCACAATCTATCTTCTTGCTATCCTTCTTAGAATAATCAATCTCTTAAATGAGACAGATATTCCAGCATACGCAAAAAAAGAAAAAAAAAATCACTTCGTGCTTAATGTGAAAAAAGAGACATCAGAAAATAGTTTTTAATCCTTAATTAGTATATTCTACAGCCAAGGTAGAAATGAGATGTCTGCTAATGATATTTTTGTATTCCTGGCAGCTTAAAACCATTATATTTTGCAGTTTTACAAAATATCTACCCGCTATGCTGGCCTCCCAGACTCTGATTCATTTAAAAAATGTTGGCTTGGCAAGGTTACTACCCTTTTACTGAAACCATCATGGAGACGGCCAGACATAGCCCGTGGGTTTTCAACCCTCGAATACGGAGTTCGTATGTAGACTTGTGAGGGAACTCTCTCTGACCAATCTCCAGCTGCACCTCCTGCCATCTCCCCTTTGGGAGCCGGTGGGAACCAGAGGCCTGCATGCTTCCTTGTTCTCTTGATGAGTTTCAGGGGTCCCACTGCACTTTTTAGACCTCTGCTGTCCACTATAGTCACCTGTGGCTGATCTATACCCAAACGAAGATTAAAATAACAGCTCCACTCCTCAGTCTCACTATCCACTTTGCATGTGCTCAAGTGGACACACGCGGCTACCGTACTGGACAGTACACACATAACCTGTTTCCGTCATTGTGGAAAGCTGTATTGGGTGGCTCTAAGCTCGGCAACGCCTTGTAGGGCAGAGAGAGAGAACAAGGGAAAAGGGTGAATCCTGGCAGAAAAAGAAGAAGAAAAAGAAAAGGATGATTGGACAAGGGGAAAAAGTGTTTCCTCTAAAATCTTCACCAGCCTGTGCTTTCCAGAAGCCTCGTTAGAAATTGGTATTTCTGGGCTATAAATATGGTCGGGTTTCTCTCAGCTAAGAAATCACCTCAGAGCGAGGCCTCCTTGGCTGTGATGCCAGGAAACCCTCTCTCATTTTCTGCACTAACTAAAACAGCCTGACAACGTGGCTCTCCTACGATTTCTGATCCACCCCCCGACTCTCCCAGTCCAGTTGGATTATTCTGAGAAGGCCTCAGGCTCGTCTCCAGTCACGGGTCTGGAGGGGTTTTAACCGGGACCCACGGCAGGTTTTCTGCTCTGCTTTTTCTCCACATCCCGACTCAAGCTGTCTTTGGGTAGATTCCACACAGAATAACCTCATCAGCAGCTGCCTCTGGAACACGGGCACTGCTTATTTGACTGGCTAGGTAAAACGTTCCTCCCAGTGACTCTGGCAAATCTCTTTGAGATTCATTGGCCTGTCTCTAAAATGGTGATAACACACCCAAAGTAATGACCCGACCCAGATGACCTGCCCCAGGTCCTTTTCATCTCTACGATCTATGAGTCTACATGCACTTATGGATGTCGCTGCTCCACCCTCCGCCTCCATCTCTGCTTCATTGTAGGCAAGATGCCAATGGTTTCTCTCAAGCCCTGGGGCTGATGGTGCCAGAACTGAAAGAACACTCCACAAGTTCCCCAGAGACTGAGCCTGCCTCCAACTTGGTCAGGAGCTCTCTACCCACTTTTCACTGGGTTGAGGTTGATGTAATTGAGGAAGAGCCCTGTGAAGAATTATGGAGCCCTGAGCTCTCCTGGGGTGGGCCCCGGAATATTAACATCACTGCCTCCTTCACCCCCATCCGCAGCCCCTCTGATCTTGCCTGTTTGAGTCATTACCGTGTAACAGGGAAAATCCCAGACACAGTATGGGCACACCCGGGCAATGCCCTCCTCACACGACCCAACACCCACCCACCCACCCAGTGGTTACGGTGACACCTGACGCGCCCACTAAACAGGCAATGGTGGTCGACCACAGACCGTGAGGCGCTGTGGTCTCCTGGCAGTGAAAGCAGCTCTCAGTTCCAAAACACACAGTAGGAAGGGGGACCAAGATGTTGAGATCCAACAAAGGATTCTTTTTCTCTACTGTTTTCAAATACTAGGCTGACGTCCTCCTAACCTCCATGGACAGACCTCGCTGTCTGTGCTACATCTCTAGTCCCAAATACCCCTGCGCACACAGATGAGCAGTTCTTCACAACATGGATGCTCTTGTTGGTCTCTGAAAGAGTAAAAGAAAGCCCAGAGACCCAGGGGTGGAAACACGCTCTTACGGGTCCCTAACCGGGAAACTTGCACAGTATGAGAAAATGAAAGGCTCTGTGGTACCATACTACCTGTGATGCTCCCGTAGAGTCCAGTAGCTGGGGAAGAGAGTGCTTTCGGCCATCTCGGGAGACTTCCAACATCCTGGCCCGGGGGTCCCCATTTCGCACCATTAGCTCATTATATTCTTCAACAGACTCTAGCCGGTGTACACCCCCTTGTAAAAACATGGAGAAAAACATGGCATGATATGGGATGGAAAGAATCTTATGAGAGCATCACAGGTATAAACTTGTTGCGTTTACAGCCATGCTACACGGTTTTCAGAAGGCCTGGTGTCTAATACTTCCAAAGCACTGAGCTCATCGCGTTCTACCAATAAGCTCTGCCTAAGCTGGGTGAGCACTGGGGCCATTGATTCCAGATTATGAAGAAAGTGCCAGTCTTTGAAGGGACCAGACTGGATATGGGAAAATGCATAGAGAGGGAACACAAGCAGGCTTCCCACCAAGCAGGGGCGGGGCTCGATCCCAGGACCCTGGGATCACGACCTGAGCCGAAGGCAGATGCTTAACGACTGAGCCACCCAGGTGCCCCTAAATAAACTTTTTTTGGGGGGGGCGGGTAAAAGCCAGAGAGTAAATGTTTTAGGCTCTATGGGCCACAGATGGTCTCTGCTGCATATTCTCCAAACATCTTTTTTTTTTTACAACCCACTGAAGATGTAGAAAGCATTTCTAGCTTGTGGTCCATACAAATATAGCTGTAGGTGCTAGTTTGCTGACCCCTGATCTAGAACATACTGTTATGGAACATTCTCATACAAATCCTGTCTGTGGGGTATAGACCTAGGACAGAGTTGCTGAGCTCCGGGTACACATCCACTTTTCCCAATGTTGTAACACCACTGTGTGTGAGTCCTAGTTTCCCCCACATCCTCGTCATACTTGGTGGTGCCAGTTTTTAAAATTTTAGCTACTCTCATGGATATATAATGACATTTCACTGTGGATTTTTTTAAGATTTTATTTTCAAGTAATCTCCACACCCAAAGCGGGGCTTGAACTCATAATCCTGAGATCAAGAGTCCCATGCACCACCAACTGAGCCAGCCAGGGGCCCTCATTGTGGTTTTTAATTCACACTTCACTGATGACCAATGTGACTGAGCTTCTTTCAAATATTCATTGGCTGTTTTACTTCGGTAAATTTGACAGTTTTTTTTTTTTTTTAATAAAGTTGTAAAGTGCCTGTTCTGCTTATTTTTTTATTGGGTTTCTGTCTTTTTGTTGTTGATTTATAGGAGTTTTAATTTTTTTTGTTAATATGTTTCGGATATGAGTCCTTCATGGAATCTATGTATTATAAGTATCTTCTCCATGTCTGTGACTTGTCTTTTCACTCTTAATGGAATTTTTATTTTTATTTTTTTTTAAAGATTTTATTTATTTAAGAGAGCGAGAATGAAAGACAGAGAGAGCACATGAGAGGGGGGGAGCAGAGGGAGAAGCAGACTCCCCGCAGAGCAGGGAGCCCGACACAGGGCTGGATCCCAGGACCCTGGGATCATGACCTGAGCCGAAGGCAGATGCTTAATGACTGAAACACCCAGGTGCCCCTCTTAATGGTATTTTTAGATGAGCAAAAATTAACAATTTTAACATAGTATGATATATCGATTTTTCCCTGTATGCTTAGAACTTTTGTGTCTTAGGAAATTTTTATAGTAATTTTTAAAGATACCTTTATCAATACCTAGTTTATATTATATGCTATTTTAAAATAAGATAATTTAAGGGACTTTAATTTTAAACAATGGCTCAATTACATTGACTATAGCTATAATTACATTACAATGTTTACATGCTACATTATAAATGTATATATACATATGTGTGTATGTAGCTATATACACATACAGATTCTTTGTAATATCAAATTCTCCTAGACTATGTTTTGTTTGATGACCTAAAATTCAATTTACCTAAACATTTCTCGGAAAGTTTTTCATGGAATAAAACAGGATGATTCTGTACTCTTTTCAAAATAATATATTGAGTCTTTAATGGTGATGAAAAGTTGGAAGAGTGCTCATACAATTATATTAACATGAACATCACTAAAAGCTTGGTGTTTCAAAAGCTACATATTAACTTTGTGATGCAGGTTTTCAAACACCTGAAACCCCTTTGCAATCAAAGAGAAATTTCCATTTAAAAAGATCACAAACCTAGGGCATTAACACGGATAAATCAAAAATACCAAAATTAAAAGGGAATCCTGCTGGCAAAAAAGGCAGTATGAAGTAAGGAAAATTCAGGTTAGAATATCAGGAAAAATGTTCTATAAAATCACTTTAGTCATTCTGGAGCCAGACTAGGCAAAAATCTTCGTGGAAATGGCTGGAACTTCTTTACAGAACCTCTTTAATAATTCCTGACTTACTAATTCATGGCCAGATTAATCCATCTTGGCATGCTTACTCATCTGAAAAAGATTTATTAGAAGAAAGTGCCTTTTGAGCTGACAGGGAGGCACTTGCCTTAACAGAAGAGAAACCACATACGGTAGTGTCTGTAGATAATATACTGATACGTGAATACCAGAGTGACTCACTTTTAGAAAATAGGAAATAAATATCCAAGTTTACAGGACAAATTAGCAGTTGAGCACATTAAAATCTCCTGTTGTCAAACGTCTTTAGACTGAACGTAGTCACAGCCCCGAAGGAAGGACCCAGTTCCGTAAGCCTCCCTCACAGGTCTCAAGTTACTTTTCCAGCCTTATCTCCCACTGCCCTGCTACGTGAATTTGTGAATTCGTGGCTCTGGCCTGCTGATTCTCAAAGGAGAGGATCTGTCCTCCTTCCACATCCTTTCCAAAACTGGGGAGCCTATAAGTTATCGCTTGACATTTTACCTCACTTTGCTGGCACCATTGTCCCCCACCCCAAGGGGCTCCTTACCCCTAATCTCCCTGACAAGCTCGGCTGGATTCAATCATGGTTCCTGTTGGATTACTGGATCTTTCCGGAAGCTGAGGAGGAAAAACAGTTGCCAAAAACTTCTCTAACCCATTTTCCCCCATTGCCCCTAAACATTTCTCGTGTGTTTTCTCCCTCGTCTAGACCACTGTTGCTTCCTCTTGGGTTCTGTCAAATCTTGCCAAGGTCCTGGGCCTCCTTTGTCTTGTGTCCTCTGAATTCCTCCTCGGAGTACTGCGACCCAGAGAGACTTCCATCTTCCTACCTCTCATGCGTGCCTTGTCATGGCCTAAAGTTCTCAAGACTATTCTTGTCTGAACCTATTCAAGCATCTTCCCCTCTTGAGAGGGAAAGAGGAGACGACAATGATAGTAAGGTTGCAAATGACGGTGATGACCGTGATGTTAATGGCAGTGGCGGTGGGGTGTATCACTGCCGTATTCTGCAGGGGCAGCGCCATGTTCCTTCTCTCAACTCCACCTTCCAATGGAGACGGTGTGCTGATTTACAAGATAAATGTACATTATAATCCTCCCTCTACACCTGAAGGAACAGAGACCCAGAGAAGTCAAGTACTTGTCTCGGGTCACACAGGCTGTCATGGCAGAGCTGAGAACCGAACACAGTCCCACCCGACTTCATGCCTGTTATACACATTTGCTTATTATGGCCCCTGCGTGTCTGGGAAGGACAGGAAGAGAGGGTGACATCCATTTGTGACAAACAGTAGCCAGCTGTGGATTTACTACTCAGCTGAATGTGCTGCTTGTTCCAAATTAATAGTAGAAACAGCGTCACAGAGAATTGTGATTTGAAAGGTCCCCAGCTATAATCCCCCTCCCCACATCTGTATCTATAAAGCCCCAGACTGGGGAGTAGGATTCTCATCAAGATTCTCAGGAAGCCAAGGGGTAGGTAAGAAGAACGATCTGGGAGGCAGATCTTTTTGCTGGCACTGAATGAGTGACCTTTGGGATTCCCTTCACTTCTCTGGTCTCAACCATAAAATGAGGGATGTGACTGCACAGGTTTCAAAGGTCCCTGATGCCTCCCCAGAGCTCTGTGGCCCTCCTGGAAACTGTTTATAAGGTGTTGATTAACTCTGCCAAGACAGCTGACCTTAGATCTCCATCCCCTATGCCCCTGTGACTCCTAGGCCCCAAACACACACAGGAATTGAATGTCTTTCTCTCTGTTGTTCCTTGGGGCTGCAGGGGAGCTGGCCAGTCTCTCCACATGGGGACCTTCAGCACGATGTTTCCCCTCCAACTTATCAGCCTCTGACCATATCACTGTTTTGTCACAGACCCAAGTTCAGATATACACTGCCTAATTATTATGAGTTACAAATACACTAATTCACTTTATTATTCAGGTTTGTTAAAAGAAACAGATGTATTTTATTTACCAGTCACTTTACCTGAGAACAGCTCAGTAGAGGACAAGGGTGGGGAGCAGTGTCGGGGGGTGAGGGGGCGGTGGTCCTGGTCGGCAGGCACAGACACCACCCTTCCGCATGCATTTGTGCAGAAGAGGAGACTGACAGGTCTTGGATGTTAATACACCATGCTTTGGCTGGCTACTTGCATGTATTTTGTGTGTTTGTTTTTTAATCTGCTCACCCTTTCAAAGCCAGGATTATTATCTCCTTTTTTCAGGTGAGGGAGTGGAAGTTCAGGGGCTTGAAGTAACCGGCCCAAGGTCACAGGAGACGCCTTTCACGGGTGGGCAGCCAGGGCTGGCTTCTCCATCAGGCCCGCAGACACCGTGCGGAGGGCCCACAAGAACGTTTTCAGTATAAACATCATAGTAATGAAGAGATAATAAAGAATCCAGCTTATATCTTCATACCAATGCAGCCATGAAATATAATGTTCAGGGTTTGTTTGTTTGTTTTTTAATAGGGGAAAGAGCCCATCATGGAGTTAGTGCCTAGAACCCACGGATCATAACGGGTTCCTGCACGTGGCCTCTGCTTTCAGAAAGAACTTTCCTAACTTAGGACACAAGCCCGCTGCTATGAGGTTATGCCCAGGAAATGTGAACTCTCTTTGTTCCCAGAGGGGCAACTCCCATCCCACTTTTCCAGCCTGCTTCGTTGAGATGTAGATTTAATATCAAATAAATAGCTCTTTGCCCCTGGTTCCGGTGGACCAAGGGCTTGGGGGAGAGGGGCATTTGCCAGGAAGATAGGCCACTAGGAATATGCCACAGGGCAGGGGTCACCTAAAGTTCTGCAGAAGTAAATGAACCATACACACAGGAAATTTAGGTTTGAGCAGAGACAAATGGGGAGATGTTGACATTCACTTTATTATGACTCAAAAATATTCACCCGGGGAAGCCGGGCTGAATGCAGTTTTATGCTTGGGGCATGCACTATCTAAAGGAAAAATAGTTTTAAGGCTGTAAGGGAAAAAAAGAGCTCATTCCATTAATGACTTTATCTTTCCACTCCTGAGGCTAGAAGCTCACTTTCAGACAGGCCACATCAGGCAAAGAGTTCCACTCACCTGAAAGACGACTCTTGAGCTTCATTTTACTGCTGCCCTGTTTGGGACTTTCCAGGTTTCCCTTGGATTCCTCGGGGCCACCAGAATCTTGGGGCTCATCTGATGCAGGCATCTGAAATGCAGAGAACACTGAGCTGATGGGAGAGGCAGGCTTGCAATCATTGATGAGATCTCCTCCCAGAGGTTATCTCAAGGCTTGAAGAACAGCAATACAGGTATCACGTGAGAAAAAAAGCTTGCCGGGATCAAAGCACAGCCCCTCCGGTAACCCGGAACCATACAGCCTTACGCTGGCAAGTTTCTCTTCAGCATGCAGCCCCTGCACGGCACAGAAACAGCAGGTTTCAAAGTGGAAATAGCCCCAGGGGCCACTTCATTTCTGGAGGAAACTTGTTGGTCAAGGACACCCAGGGCGACGGTCACAAAGCCACAACGACAGCCCAGGTCTCTTGGCTTGTGGGCTAGTGCTTTTTCCTACGGCGCAAGTTGCAAGAAATACTAAACCAGAAATTTAAACTCAATTCTGAAATACAGTAAAACAATAATTTTTTGGCAGCCAAATAACTACACCCCTTGGGTCAACCACACTGTGTGCTATACTCCTGAGTACTGATTAGCACTGCTCAGGACACGTGCAGGTAGCCCCAGAAAGCCCACACGTCTGTAGGTTGTACGCCTATGCTACCAGACCCCAAGGGGTGATGCAGAAAGAAAGGTCTCAAGGGTCTGTCTGTAGGGTCCTCTATCTGAGAAGCCAAAAATGCTAAAAACAGCACCAACAAAATACATTTATTAGAGAAGAAAAGGAGACTTATATGCTTGAGAGTGTATATGAAAAATTGGGGAAGTAAATTTACATGTACAAAACTTAAAAGATACATCAAACAATGAGTTTTCCCATTTGAAATTTTATTTTCCCTTGAGCTTTTGAAGGAAGAAGTCATATTAATTAAAACAGGTAGGATTCATGTGAAGAAACATGAATTTAAAAAGATATAGAAGATATCCTTAAACACTTCATGGTCATTGAAAAGTCACATAATTACAATGTAAAAAAAAACCCCAAATCCTGAATGTTCACTGATAATAAAAATTATACACTGTATATCAAATTCAGTATATGAAAATGCATAATCTCCCAGATAAACCCCACCTCCTTCTAAGATGTAATTGTTTATATGTAAATTTTTAAAATCTTTATTTTAATATATTAAAAGTAGGCTCCACACCCAACATGGGGCTCAAACTCATGACCCCGAGATCAAGAGTGGCATGCTCCACAGACTGAGCCAGCCAGGTGCCCCTATATGTAAATCTTGTATGTAATATAGGAGATTTGCAAAATTCTCCCTTCCCCCTCGAGTTCAAGTATCTCTCTGGATGAGAAAGAGGAAAAAAAACGTCTGAGAAATGAGGAGATGCAGGCAAGTTGAGGAAGGGGCCGTGGGAAAGCAAATGAATCCCGATACATAAAACAAAGATAAATTTGGTGAATCCCTATTACAATGTCGGGGATTGGCAGGTCTCCAGGTTTAAATTATGAAGTAAAGGCAAGAATGGAATCCTGAGGATGATTTTAGAGATTCTCAAGAGGGATGTCTTTCCCAACCCCAAATTGTAACATTTAATTCACACCCAGTGCAAAAGAACCCTCTTGGAGACCTGCCAGAGATCTGAGGCACAGGAGGAGACATGCAAATAGGAATAATCCAGAGAGAAGCCTCAGGGCCTCCCCTTTGCTTAATTTTAAAGCTTTATGGAAAGAACCTGTCTCTGGACTGTAAACAGCAATTACTGGAGACTGAGTTAAGTTCCTGGTTCTTTCTCTCATACCACCTGACCCAGGTTATCAGGCTACGGAGAAGAGTATTTCTCAGCTTGTAGGTCATTACCTCCTCGGTGCCCAGTCAGTGGGTGGATTACTCCACAGTGGCCAAGGCCCAGACCATCAGAAAGCATGTCCGAGGAGCTCGTGTCAAGGGAAGAAAACAATCCCGGCCCACTGTTTCTGGACTTAAGAAGTTTCCTTCTTGCATTTTTCCTCTGTTTTTTTCAGCGTGGTCCCAGTTTTTCATGCAATCGGAGGAATTCTGGAGATGACATAAACCCTAATACGAGTAACCCAAAGGAAAGTGACCTGCTCAAGGCTTTTCAACTCACTACAGGCAAGGCTGAGACTCCTCAGTCTCCTGATTTCTAGCTTCATGCGTCATGAGGATTTTCCCTCCCTCCATTCTTAGATGCTTTTTAATTAAGTTAACACTTTGGATGATCAATACCGTACCATACTGTATAGTTCGTATTCCTGACATTTTTCCCATTTAATGTTCCTAGCAAACATGGGTCCCAAGTAAAAGATATTCTCTCCATTGACAGATGAGGAAATAAATGGAGACCCTGAAGTAACACCTTTTTGTTTATAACATACATCCGAGAGCTAGGCTAGATCACGTGTGCAGAGAATGAGCGTGCAGGATGAGTGGTGGCGTTTTACAAGAGCGAACACACACTGTGTCAAATCTATGTTCTTGTGATGCGAGCCCAACTGCAGCCAACTCTTCTTTATTTTCAGAATCTGAGAGAGGCGGTTTAGAAGAGAATCACAGCCTTAAGGAATAACCTTCTTTTTTTAATCTTGAATGTGCCAAAGAATGAGATGACATTTGGTTTCTATGATCTATAAAATACCAATACCATTTCTTATACCAAGGAAATCTTACACGAAAGATGGTGTGTGTTACATTACCAACGAGAGCTCGTAACTAAAACCAATCAGAATGGACCTAGAGACATCTTGAAGAGGTGCAAACAGTACACTGTCGAGCTCAAGCAGAAGCACATCTGATTTCAGAACCCCCAGAAAGTGTTTGCACGGGGTTCTGAATTTAAACAGAACCTTTTCCTCTTGCAACAGAAAACAGTCTGCCATGATATGAGGTGGTTTGGAACTCAAGGAACAGGGAGTAACAACATACAAAGTGCAATTTTGATTACAGTGCACCTCTCTTCAGTCTCCTATTGTCTGAAAATGCCGACACTCTAAAGAGCCCCTTTGCTGTATTTTTATTTTTTTAGATGCACAGAACAAATCAAACTGTTCTGGAAATGATGTCATTTTAGTTGTTCTAAAACGAAATGTGCAAAAAGTTCTCCTGGAAAGCCTTTGGTTCAGCTGGTATAATCTATTATTCATCAGCAATTTCCAATTCATGTGTTATACAACAATGCCATTATATTAATGGAATCTAATATAATTTGCCAATTTCCAAGATAGAGGCTTTCTGTTTGTACAGTTTTCTATACTTGTAGCCTATGAGATTCTCTCTTACTGAAGAATCTTTAGCTTCTGGTTTTATAGTGAGATGGTAGAGCAGAATGGTTAAGAATCCAGCTGCCTGGATACAAATCCTGGTTTATTAGCAATTTAGGCACATTAGTCATCCTCCTTGATCTTCAATGTCCTCATCTGAAAGATGGGGTTTGATTTAAGAATTAAGTGATAGTTGTTTTTTTTAAGATTATTTATTTGTTAGACAGAGAGCACGAGCCGGGGGAGCGGCAAGCAGAGGGAGAAGCAGGGTCCCCCCTGACGGAAGAGCCCGTTACGGGACTCTATCCTCAGCACCTGAGCTGAAGGCAGATGCTTAACAGACTGAGCCATCCAGGCATCCCTAAGTGATAGTTTTCTGATTAAAGATGGCAGATTTCTCTTTTTCCCCTCATTTGAAACTACACTCAAATGACAGAGATTTTAAAATGAAAGACATAATCCCAAAGAGATTATGTCAAAGAGAACAGAAGACAACAGCAACACAATTCTGGAAACCAATAAGCAGATGAACATGTGGTAATGGATCCAACTTGAGAAAACCGAATTCTAAGCTGGGATCAGAGAAAGCTAAAATGCAACCCAGTTTGAACAGAACCCCCCCCCCGCCCACAAAAGAATTGTGAGGTCTGGGAGGCCAGTTCCTGACCACAATTAAAGTGGGCGTAACACGAGTGGGGAGACACTTTAGTTTTTACTAGATTGGAGGGCGTGACTGGGGACTAAAATCCTGAGAAAACCTGAAGAAACTTAAATCCTGAAAAATCTAAAGAAAACCTGAGAAAAAGAGGCAAAACCACGGGGAACAGAATGCAATGATGCTCTTAGGCACATCTCAGGCCCAGAAGACAATCAGAGGTGATTTAAAAACTGCAGAGCTTGAGTAAGAGGATTTGGGATAGCTCTATCGAGAGGGATCAGAAAGTTTGGACAGATTTAAAGGTGAAGGGTGAAGAAGCCCAGGAGGAGATTTTAAAAAATTCCTGGGTCAATTTTAAAGGGACACAGTTATTTTTGTTGGCCTGATGGAAGTGGCCTGAGAAATGTATGAGATTACAACATGAAAGGAAGCAAACATGAAACATACCAAGGGGAGCCAGGCAGGATGATAACAGGCCAGAATTTGATGTTGGTCAGGTGGGAGAAAATTTCCTGGCTGGAATTAGCCAACTCAGAGGTGGCGGTGGTCAAGATGCATATGAACAATGGATACTTTAGAAAACAGAAGACTCATTGATTCCATATCTTTCACAATGATGAGCCCCACAAGACAGAATCTAGAATAGTATCTTAGGGATAAAGAAAATCTACATCAGAAAGCAAAGGAACAGGGGAAGTTAAAAGAAAAAAAAAAGCACCCAGACTCAGCAAGCAGGCCTGGGAAAGAAGACAGGAATCCTTTCAAACAGCAGGTTAAACAGAAACTCAAGTGAGTCTTCCCAAAAGGAGATGGATATGAAACTCTAGAGACATATCCAATTACTACCCCAAAATATGTAGCAGAAAGCCCTGTTACTCAACCCCTGGAACATTCAAAACCTGAGGAAAGACAATCAAGGAGCAGGTGGCAGAAGTATTAGCCCTTACGAGCTCATTAGGGGTGTAAGCTTCAGAATCATCAACAGCAGGTCTGGTTCATGAATCTGCAGAGGGTGTTTTTCCAGCTGAATCAATGGGGAGGAGAAACGCAGCTTTCTCTAGTCTCAGCACTTCTCTGCATTTCTAAGAGGTGGTGGAAATGGAAAATGTGGCCCTGGACTGAAAAGCCTGCACCAGAGAACACA